CAGTCAGCTTTTCTGCATGGAACGGGTGGGGGGAGCGCCATCTTGTTCTTTGCCTGAGGAAGTAAAATGCTTTCGGCCCACCCCAGCGGTGGAGAAGCAATTGATGCCTCCATGTCGGAAATAGACGGGCCTGCAGCGAGGCGTTTTAAGGGCTAGGCAAGGGCCAAGGGTGAAGGCTTTTTGAGTACTCCCACTGCTGTTTTGCTTCTTGCTTTTTACTTTCTTCACCTAGCGCTCGCCTCCCCAGAGTTGTTCAATGCTGACAACCCTGCTAAGAAAAAGCCTATCCCTGGGAAAGGTCTATCTTAGAATCTATTCCCTTCTATGGAAGGGAATAACCTATTCTGTTGGATCTTTCCAAAGATGCACATTTTTCTTAACAGAGTTGTCTAAACTTCTGCGGGCAATTAGAGTGCTGAATTGACAATCTCAGCCTTCACATCTTGCACATAAATAGGGCAGCTTTGTGAGGTTGGCTTGCAGCATGGAGAGAAGAGACACAGAATCGCAAAATCCGAGCTTGGAAACCGTGGCAGCTTCCATCCGCTCTGCTGACATCACTAATTCAGTTGCAGCAGAGAATCTGGTAAAGTCGATGTAAAAGATTTATAAGACACCTTTTAGGGTGCCGGTGTAGTAAAGTTAAAATTACAGAGAACAGTGGAACAAAGGGACCCAATAATAAACCAATTCTCTAATCAAAAATAACAGTTAAGAACAGATAATACCCTATATCCAATGGTACGCAATAAAGATCTGATTCATTTATAGGCTGAGGTGAAAAAAGATGGGCTTGTTCAGGCCCACTTGAATGACTGTAATGATGGGGCCTGGAAGACATGAATTGGAGGATTGTTCCACAGGCAGGGGACACTCCCAAAACGGCCCCATCCCTCAACCCTCAACCCTACGCACTTAATTGTTTTGACAGACAGACATACAGGCAGAATCTGCAGGGTTGATCTTGGAGCATGGCCTGGCTGGCAAACCACACCCAAAGTGAGGAAAAAGCTGTGTAACAGCTCTGGATGTGCTTCTACGGACTGTTTCCCAGCCTCGGTGCTCTTTCTAAAGAGGCAGCCGCCAGCACCAAGCTTACAGAGAGTTACAAAATAATCATTACGCTTCACAGATCTCTTCCTCAGACTGAACATTATGATGAAGAAAAAGGTGTTTGCGGCGGCACATGAAGAAAGTCCCCGATGTGAAATGAAATTTCAGGATTAAATTAGAAATTATTCTTTCATAATTTATGAGATCTCATGGGTGGGATGGGTTTATGATACATGGAGGGCATATTATAAATGTATACATTATAAAATGGATGATTGGACCAGACAGTGGGGAGAAGAGCTAAGTGAACCATCCCAATTTGGGACTCCCTGGATGTTTCATGCTACTGATGGGAACCCTCCCTCAGTGCCAGCATGGCCCATGGTCAAGAAAAGTGGAAGCTGTAGTCTAAAATATCTGGCAGGCACCAGGTTGGGAAAGCTTGTGCTAAACCCTAAACATGGAGGATTTGACGCAGGGATGAGCGGCAAGTGATTCTTCACGCCTGAGACTCCAACTTGAGCATTCTTGACCCTGGCGTTTCTAGCAGGCACTTCTGGAGGCTGAAGGCCCAAATTTCTTCTGCCCATCTCTGGTTTTTAGAAAACACACAAGGCAGAGTGATTGACGCACACTTCATAATCTCTCTCCAACAACAGGAAATGCCTGATTTTGTCTAGGTGTAACCAAGTACCAGGGCCAACTAATGGCTGAACTATAGAATGACAATAATCAGACACATCATCATCATCACTATCATCTGTTTTACTTTGCCAAACAAATTGGAATTCCTGCATTTGCATTTCATCCATTTAAATATTGTGCTTGATAGTTGCACATTGGAATTGGGGAATTGATCTGTGCTAGTACAGCAGATCATCTCACCCCTTGTTGGGGCCCTGATCCCAGTCATGTTCTCCACACGCTGGTCTTTGGAAACCGCAAAAGACAGGACCAATTACACATTATATCAACAGTACATTCTTAGGATCAGCTAGATTTTCTTTTTTTAAAAATGCACCAACCCCAAACCCCCAGAGTACCACACCGGGAGGAGAACATGCCTAACCTTTTCTGCCCACACAATTTGTCCACCAAAAATTGCTACCTGGAGCTGCTATTTCCTCCCCTAACCCTAAACATGCTATTAATTATGCTAGTAACATTAATGTATACTTTAGCCCGCCAACTGAGATGTTTCACTCTTCTGTAAATCCAGTGCCCTCTAATGTCAGATTCGTATATTGCACGCAATAAGTGCCAGGTTAATTTTTTTGCAGGATAAATTGTGATTACCCATACATAGTGATTGGGAATGCAGTGGTATCTTGGCTCACAAACTTAATCCGTTCCAGGACTCTGGTCATGACCCAAATTGATCATGAGCCAAGTTACATTTCCCCATAAGGTTTAATGTAAATAAGGTTAATCTCTTCTGTAACTATTTTTTTTAATCAGAAAAAAGTATTTATTTATTTATTTTTTGAGTTATATCCTGCCTTTTTCCTACAAAGGGCTCAAGGCATCATTCTCCTCCTCCATCTTATCCCCACAACAACAACCCTGTGGGGTAGGTTGGGCTGAGAGTCTGTGACTGGCCCAAAGTCACCCAGTTGGCTCCATGGCTGAGCGGGGACTCGAACCCGGATCCTCTGAGTCCCAGTCCCGTGCTCTTAACCATACACCACAGAGGCACACTGTGAAGCAAAGTGACAAAGAACAACAAAGATCGCAGCCATCTCCCCACCCCAAGCACAACCATGATCGCGCCCATCATCCCAGTGTGCTGCGGGGGGGGGGGGGGGGGGGGGGGCGGGAACGGGGGCCCGGGGGGGGGGAGAGACGGGGCGTGATCGTGCTGGGGGGGGAGATGGCCAAGATCACGGTTGTGCTCGTGCAGGAAAGCCGGGCGTGATCTCAGCCATCTCCACCCCCCCAGGCCGCAGCACGATCGCAGCCATCTCCCCACTTGGGGGATGGGGTGGGGAGACGGCCGCGATCACGGTTACCCCCCAATGCGGATTTCACGATCCGAGTCAAAATTTTTATGCAAGTTTTGTTCGCAGCCCCATTTGGTCGTGAACTGAGGTGTTCGTGAGCCGAGGTGCCACTGCGTAAGGATCCTGGTTTTGGTACCAAACGATGATCTTTCCTAGGGCCTTCATTGCTGCCCTTCCAAGTCTCCTGCTGATTTCTTGGCTGCAGTCTCCCTTTGAATAGAAGACCGAGCAGAGATATGCGAAATCTTTCACACTTTCCATTTCTTCACGGTGGACTGTATAGTTGTGTAATTCTGTCGTCATGATTCCGCTTTCTCAATATTCAGCTGCTTCTGTCCTTCCTTCTTTGACTTTGACTATGATTAGGAGTCCTTTTCATTCTCTGCTTTCCTCTGCCAGGAATCTGGTATCATCGGCATACCTTAAATTCCTGATGCCTCTTCCACCATTTTTCATTCCTTCTTCCTCCAGTCCTGATCCAGCTTTCCTTATGAAATATTCTGCATGCAGATTGAATGGACAGGGAGATAAACTACATCCTTGTCCAACACCCTTAGCCTATGGGAAACCATTCTGTTTCGTCGTCTTCTGTCCTTCCTGTCCACGAGGCAGTTTCCTCATCAGGACGAGCGAGTGCTGAGGTTCTCCCACTTTTCTCATCCACCGCTTCTCATGATACACACTGCCAAGGCCTTTGCTGTAGTGAGTGAAGCACAGGCGGATCTGACATTCTTTGGGCACTCCAGCAGGCAACTGGAGAGAATCTATGATTATGTATTTGTTACATGTATATTTTGCCTTTCCTCCAAGGAGACCAAGGAGGCACACACGAGTCTTCTTTCCATTTTATTCACACAACGACCCTGTGAGGTGGGTTACCTGGAAGCAGTGACTGGCTCTAAGCAGTCGAGTGAGCTCTGTGGTCAGATGAGGACTAGAACCCGGGTCTCCTGAGCCTCAGTCCCACACTCCAGCCACGCTGCCACATGGGTTCTTGTGACTGTGTGAGTCCTTATATTTGTGACATCTCTGATAGCAAGCGATGCGAATCCCCTCCCTCCATGACTGTGCCATTCCGTGAACCTTTATCAAGATGGGGGGGTGCAGCAGCTGAGCACAAGTCAGCCCATGAAGCCCCTTTAAAGAAAACAGATGAATAGCAACAAAGCTATCAATCTCCCTCCAGCAATGCCTTGCACGAAAACATGTGCAATTTTTAAAAACATGCACTTGGATGTCTCTGACAAGCAACTCCACGCCACAGTCCTCCAAATTTTAGGAAAGGTGACAAAAGGACCGTCGCCCTGCACGTGGACTTCTCTTTCCTGTCACGAGTGGAACAGCTAAGTTACTCCCATTGGATCGGGGCTTTCCAAGCCCTCTCAGTGGTCACTTAAGCTACATCATGGTGCCTTCCAGCCCAAAGAGGTGCTTTCCCCAACCTGGTGCCCTCCTCACACCCATTGTTCATCTGTGGAAGGGGAGAATGTGCATTGTAGTCCTGGTCACAAAACTGAGGAAGTCTAACTATGCTATGATAAATGTGAGCTGTTACTATTTCTGTCCTGCCCCACGGCCAAAGCTCTCTGGGCAGTTTACAAGCATTAGAGAATAATCCTACGCGTGGCTGCACAAACTTCCTCCAAAGAGGCGGGACCTCACTGCAGAGGTCCTCGTGGCTTTCAGGGATCAGTATCTGTAAATAAAAGAAACATCTTTCAAATTCAGCTTCAGCGTAAGAGCTTCCCACCCACCTTCCCAAAGCTGCTCTTCCCCTGTGCAGAGAAGCTTTGCACGGGGACACATCTGCGCATTACAGTATCTCCTGACCCTCTAAAGCAAACCTCCCTTGCAACTCGAGCTCAGGGCAGTGGCTTCACGGGCGGGTTCTGAGCATGTCTCATTCTGCCGGGCATGCTCAGTGGAGTTATTTTGTTAAAGGGGCAGCAGATTCGGTCTGGCACAGAACTGAGCTGAGCACAGCCCGGGGAGAGGACCATCTCCACCTCGAATCGGTGAGCCAACCCTTTTCCACGTGTAGCTTGTGCCTGCCGGGTGCATGGCTGGATTGTCCCAGGTAGGGCAATCTCGGCAAGAATAGGCCCGTCTCTTCTCTGGGAGCCCCAAACCCCAAACCAAAAACCCCACTTTGGGGGAGATGCTGAGAATTAATTGCATTGCCCTGCTGAAAGTCTGGGCGCTCGCCGGACGCCGGCGATGCTGCCGCCGCGGCCGTCGGTCTTACTCTCTTGCAAAGAGCGCAGGCGCCCGGACTGGCACCGAGGGGCGCGCCTGGGCGCAACTTTGCGCCTCGGGGCGAGCAGGCAGGACGTTCGTGCGCAGCGCGCAACACTGTCGCTGGACTTTCCTGGCGCTGGACAGCCGAGGCGCTGCAGGGACAGACGTGGTCGCCCACGAAGCCCAGGCTTCCCTGCGCCGATGCCTTCGCAGCCGCTGGGCTTCGCTCCGCGGCCTCCCGCCGCCCTCTGGGGAGAGCGCTTGAACAGCGCGGGGTTGCACTGTGGAACTCACCGCGGTGGGAAGTACTGATGGCCACCATTTGGGCGGCTTTGTGGAGGAGGAGGAGGAGGAGGAGGCGGCCACCAGTGGCTACGAGCCTTGCTGGCTGTGGGCTGCCTCTGCAGCCAGCGGCCCCCTGCCTGCCCGCACCAGTTGCTGGGCTACTGGGCAGGAGGAGGGCTTGCACCAGTCCTGCTTGGGCAACCGGTGGGCAGCTGACTTGCCCTTGTGTGAATGGAGTGCTGGATGGAATGGACGCTGGGCCTCATCCAGCTTGGCTTTACTTATGTTCTTCCTGTCTCATGTTCCCCTGGAGGACCCCAAGCTACTTCCAGATGTAACGGGGCAGGCAGGGACGGAGGGGAGATTCTGGATCCTAGATGGTCAGCAGTCCCCTGAAAAATCTTGTCCACTGGCTGGCTTGATGCAGTGGCCAGCTGAACCCTTCCAGGTGGCCAATGACCAGGTCATGAAGTCAGCAGCAGGAGGTCTGACGGTCTCTTTCCGTGGTGATTCAGTTCAGTTCTCATGCCTCACATGTTTAATTCCCTGTGAATTCGCCCCATCCCTTTTCAGGCCTTATCAGCACTGCTTGTTTTGTGGAGTGGATTTGCTTATCATCAGCTGCTTGTGTTGAGATAATCAAGAAGGCCAGGCAGTCCTGTTGTTCCTGCTGTTTATGCCCTGTATCGGCACTGATATACGGCAATAAAAAACTCTAAGTATTGCTCCTAAAAGAGGCTGACAAATTCCATTTGTGTCGGACTTTGTCTCTAAGGCTTCGATATTAACAGAAGCAACAGTGACACATGCGCTGGTGACTTCCCGTCTTGACTTCTGTAACGCGCTCTACGTGGGGCTACCCTTGAAGACGGTCCAGATGCTTCAATTGGTTCAGAATAGAGCTGCCAGGCTGCTGACGGGGACTGGGAATTGTTCTCATATAACCCCAGTTCTCCGTCAGCTCCACTGGCTCCCCATTGAAGTCCGGGCCCAATTCAAGGTGTTGGTAATGACCTATAAAGCCCTTAACGGCTTGGGTCCTGGTTACCTGAAGGAGCGCTTACATCCATATATGCCCAGTCGCCCCCTGAGATCGGCGGGAGAGGCCCTTCTCTGGGAGCCCTCCGTGAGAGAAATTAGGAGGGTGGCTACTCGGAGAAGGGCTTTCTCAGCGGTGGTGCCTAAGTTATGGAATGCGCTCCCCAGAGAGGTCCGCCTGGCGCCGTCATTATTTGTTTTTCGGCGCCAGGCTAAGACCTTTTTATTTAAGCAACATTTTAAATGCTAAATACAATCGAATTTTATCTGGCCAGGGCGGCTTATTTTATAATGTGTGTTTTAATTAAGATTATTTTATATGGATATTTTAACTTATTGTTTTATCTATGTTGTAAGCTGCCCCGAGGCTTCGGCGAATGGGGCGGCATAAAAATGTTTTAATAAATAAATAAATAAATAAAGTTACCCAACACATACCTATTTCTGCTCCAGCCAGGTTCTTCCCCTTTCTTTGCGTTTATCCGCTGCTCCATGGCTCCCCAGAAGAAGCTGCAGGGCCTGGTTGCAGCCACCATCACTCCAATGACTCAGGATGGGTAAATAATTCCTCTGCCCTAAAAGCAAAGACTGGTATTAAAATAGGAGTGGCCCAAGTTCTTGGACTGTTGAATCGTTCTGTGGTTGTTCTTGTTACATGCCATTGAGTTGTTTCTAGCTTATGGTGACTACAAAATCCCTAGGACATCCTGCTTAGCTGTTCCATTCCATCCTTGCCCATATGCAAATCAATTTGCATATAGGCAAATCAATTACCTATATGCAAATCAACATGGGCTTCAGAAAGACAATGAACTTATGGGACTTGGTCTCTCCCCCTCTGTCCTTGGGGTGCTCTCTAGCCTAGAGCAGCCTTTCTCAAGCCCTCCAAACATTTGGATGATAGCTCCCAGCATTGCTGGTTGGGGATGATGGGAGCTGAAGTTTAGAACACCTGGAGGGTGATACTAGGACTTGACAAAATCAGCTGCGGCACAACATGGTGGGGCTGGTTAACCCCGTTTTCAAGCAAGGGAAAGAATTAATGTTAACGTCTAAGGAGGCAGACGAGGGCATAAGACAATTAAGTCCAGAGTCCAAAATTGCTGAACCGCTTTACTATCTCTGGCCTTTGGGCCTTGCACAACTTGAAGACCGACGGAAGAGATGGAAATTGGAACCTTCTGGAAGGTGCAAGGCCACAGGCCCTGTCCAGGAGGCAGACAGCACTGGGGTGGGTCACTCGTGGCTCTCCCAAGAACGTGACTCTGAGCCAAGGTCTCAGCAGACCCTGAAGCGGAGAAAAGACCTGACGCAATGCCGATGGTCCGTTTGCACAGATTAGCTCTTTTGTTTCAGCCAGGATGTGGTGACGCTCTTGGTGTGCAACCCTATGGCGTCCCCGCAGTGTCTGGGGGCCGGGGGGGGGGTGACACAGGATTATTCAGAGTCCAAGCTCCCAGGAGGAGGTTGGAGTTGGGTTGGCGTCCCCACCACACCCACCCTAGAAGGAACCCCACTGGCTGCATCTCTGAGGCTGGAAACCTGCCTTGGAGAGGGCCAAAGGGGTGTCCCAGTGGGGCAGAGAGGGGAATGGCTGGGGCTGATGGTTTATGCCAGATGGTGCCCCAGCATCCTTGCCTCCCCCTCTGCAGGGCTTCATTGAGACAGCTGAAAGATGGAGATGGAATACAGGGCATGCAAGAGGGTGTAAATTGTTTCTGCCCTGCTTTGGGGCTTGCGTGCATGGAAGGCAGACAACATAGGATAGAAACACAGAGTCAGAAGGGGCTCCCAGGTCATCTAGTCTGACCCCCCAGCTCCAGCTGACTCCACTCATGACATGCCTACCATGCGCATGTCCAGCCCATCCTTGAACAGGATCATGCCTCCCAATGCAGTTATGAGCTTTCTAGGAACCTTTCCTCTAAGGCAGGAACTGTAAGGTAACCTTGGACCATTTCCTCCTTGCTTTTTGCTCTGGCAAGTGTGTTGCTGGGGGAAGAGGCTAATTATGACTTCTTGAAATCATCGAGTGTTTTGTGTCAGTCACAGAACAGCAGAGAGAAAGCTCCAGCTATGTAAAGCTTGCATCTCTTAAGAGATTCAATTTACCAGATATTAGTAGTCAAGGAATTTAACAGTTTGTGATATCTCTTATCTTGCACTGCTTTCTTTTAGAGAAATCAATCTCTCTGTGATTGGGCGGTACGTGGACTATCTGGTAAAAGAGCAAGGAGTGCGGAATGTATTTGGTAAGACGGGGCTTGTCATGTTTGCTGAGAACATTTGCTGTTGTGCAAATGAGTCAAAATGGGTAGAGATGCAGGCAGCCAAAGGCAGCCAAAAAGCCAACCGAAAGCAAATCAAACAGTTTGGTTTAAAGCTGGTTTGTAATCCTCTCTTGTCTGGGTGCCAGAAGCCAAAATCCTGGATTTGGGTGTCATGCAAAAGTCTCCCTGGTGTGTGAACTTGCCAGGGAAGGGCAAAGCAGGAGCAAACAGGGCCTGTGATTTGTTAAGCAATTCATGAGTAGCTTAAAGTGATGTGTGCGTGTGGCTGGTCAAACGCCAGGGGATTGCCAGCACCACGTGTCAAGCAATCACTTGGTTGCATTTGCTTTGCTTCTGAATTAGAGCCAGAGAAACTCAGGATATCTTAGGCTAACTCCTGCCTGGGTGTTGCAATGCAAGGAGGCGCCTGCTTCTTTCTAAAATAGTCTTGCTTATGAATGCATTAGGTGGCTGCAGGAAACCCCATAGACTTTGAAGGAGCCAAAGGGCTCTGCCTGTTGGCAGCCAGGTTTTCTGGGTTCGTGTGCTGGTTTTTTAATTTGCTTTGCTTCTAGGGATGAAATAGCAGCAGCATTGTCTGCCTTGGCGGGTGATGTGATGCAAAGCTCCCAAGTCAGACAATTCGGAGGATGAGAGTCCATCTCTCCTACATGCATTGAATTCCCTCTCTCTGTGTGTGTGTCTCTCTCTCTCTCTCTCTCTCTCTCTCAGTGAATGGGACGACAGGGGAAGGCCTGTCTCTAAGCATCCAGGAGAGGAAGCAGCTGGCCGAGGAATGGGTGGCCAAGGGCAAAGATAAGTGAGTAACTCAGGGGAAAGATTGCTGTGCATTGTGAAAAATCACTGCCTACCTAAGCAAAAACACTCGACTGAGAAACCCAAGTGCCCTCTTACTTCCCCTTTTTGGCCTTTTTAACTCCCTGGGATTGGGGAGCTGGCAGAATATTGCTGAACTAGCAAGTTAGAAATTCTGGTCTGGTTTAGTCAGCCTTGCTGAAAGAGGTGGGGAAATAGGAAATTATTTTTTAAATGAGCTGCTGTCGGTGTCCTGTTTTGTCGAAATGATTTCCTGCAGCAGAAGCTGAGGAAGGATAAACTAGCATATGTGAAAAGGGAGAAGGTTCGCCTCTGGACAGAATTCTTTGACTGCTACAGTCCCGGCCCAGATAAATGGAAGAGTCTGATAGGAACAGTTAGAACCAGACTTTGGGATCTGTCCCAAAGACAGAACCAAGCTTTGGGTCCAGTACTTCTTTGAGCTGTGGGCTCTGTCCTGTAAAGCAGCCGTGACTGGGCCAAATCATTTCACCTCCCAGTTTGCCGTTCCTCCACAGCTGCAATAATGTGGAATAGATACAGGATCTGACTGCTTCACTGGATAACATGCAGCTTCGAAAGGGAGGTTCTAGGCTGCTTGCAGAAGTAAGAACAGGGAGGTGAGCTTCCTTGTTTCTGCGAGTGTGTGAAATGCAGGCTCGTTGCCAACATTCTGTGTTTCATTGCATTGTTCCTCTTTCGCTCTTTGGACGTGTTTATCCTGCATGACTGGAGGTTGTCCTGGAAGCTTTGCACAGAACGGAGCCTTCTGTGTGAGGCAGTCTCTGGGAATCCTTCTGCACTTCTGTGCAGGAAACCTCTGGACTACCCTGCATTGCTTATAGTCACACGTACAAAGTGATTATGTATACAGTCGGAAGGACTCACTCAGCCTTCTTTCGACTTTCAGGCAGGTTGGAATACAGGTCCCAGCATCTATAGTTGGCACTGGCCATGATGGATAGGGCAGATGGAACCTGTGGTCAGGCACATCTGGAGAGCACCTGGTCTTCCCCTCGCACATGCACAATACTACGGAAAGGGTGATCTGAGTGCAAGCAGAAGAATAGCCGTGTGGGCACAACTCTTTCCTTGCACTCCCAGTACAGGCACACGCATCCCTGCCCCTTGTGTGGTTCGAAATGCATGTCTGGAAGGGCAAAGATGCAGCTGAAACGCTGCAGCCAAAATATGGGGATGCCATTCAGAGTGGCGAAAAGGTGGGAGCGGAGAAAGCAAAACAGTCTACTTTCTCCCTTCCGTCTCCATTGCCAGCTTCTGAAGCAGCTTTTATGTGTGTGTTTGTTTGTTTGTTTAGAATATTTGTATACCCTGCATCAGCCAAAAGGCTCTCTGAAATGGTTTGTGATAAACTGAAACTACAAAAGCCCATAATCCCAACCAAAAATTACATATAAGCCAAACACAACATTTAAAATATAATCCCAACAATAAACCCAATGAAACCCCGTGCATAATCCGTAACAAGCATCCACAGCAAATCAAGCCAGGGTCAACCAGCAGTCAAGATAAAACACCATATAAAACATAAAACACTGTATAAAACGTAGTGATTAAAATAATGGCTTTTAATAATTTTTTATTCCTTCAGAGCGGGCACACACAAACACATCGGCAGACACATATGGTCAGAACTCTAATACGTGGGTGTCCATGTGGAGGTGAATTGGCTCTTACCAGAATTGTGCACACGCCTGCTCTGAAATATTGCAATTATTACATTGCATTTGTAGCCCACCTTTTTCCCCTGGCGAGGGACCCAGGATGGCTTGCGCTGCTCCATTTTATCCTTATAACAACAACCCTGCGACATAGTTAGGCTGAGAGAGAGTCACTGGCCAAAGTCACCCAGGGAACTTCCTGGCTGAGTGGGGACTCGAACCTGGCTCTCCCAGGTCCCCAGTTCAAAACTCTCACCACCACGCCGCTCTCTAAATAACTTTGAAATATGTCTTGTTTGTCAGGGCCTTTGGCTTGTTCAGCCTACTTTGGTTTATGAAAATATGTCTTCCTGTGAAAACCAACAGTATTTGAAAGCTTCCCCTTCAGTCGTGGTGTAGCCAATTTATTTATTTTAGGATTGGTGGGGTTTTAATGTTTGTAAACCACTCAGAGAGCCCTCTGGGCTATTGGGGTGGTATAGAAATGTGATAGATAGATAGATAGATAGATAGATAGATAGATAGATAGATAGATATCAAAAAATACCATTAATAGATATAAAAATAAAGAAAAGCTATATTCCATGCTTTGCAGGCTGGATCATGTAATCATTCACGTTGGAACACTGAGTTTACCAGAGTCAAAGGAACTGGTAAGTGTCAAATATATTCTCCTCCCCAAATCTATTTATAGTTTGACATAGTAGAAAATGGGTGAGCAAGAGACAGCTCTTGCCAAATAGCGCTCAGGGAAATAAGTGCTCAGGGAAATAAATAACAACACATTCCATGTGATTTCTGTATGCTTGCCCTTAATTTGGTACAGGGGGTGCACCCGCTCCTTCTGGGCCATATAAATGTAAGAACCACATGCTCAGTAGTCGTGGCCGAGTGGCGAAAGGGATGGACTAGAAACCCACTGGGCTCCTCACACAGGGTCCAGTCCTGCTGATTACATCTGGGTGTGTTCTTTTTTTGCATGTGTTTATGCGAAAGCCACTGGCCTAGTGGTTAGAGTGTTGAACTGGGGATCAAGGAGCTCCAGTTTTAGCTCCCACTGAGCTACTGAGCTTGCTTGGGTGACTTTGGACCAGTCTGAGACTCTCAGTCTGACTCCCAGGGATGTTGCTGTGAGGATAAAACTGAGAGGAAGAGGAGGATTAAGCAAGCCACCTTGAGTTCCTTGAAGGAAAAGAGGCAAGTTAGCAATACAATAAGTAAACAAAACACAGTTAACATGTGCTGGAAAAACATCTGTTGGTAGAGGCGTATGCGAGATTTTAAGAGGAAATAGTGTTCTGTCACCTGAAGGTTTGTGCATTCTTTCCACACCCTTATCTGGCCCAACATAAATGATGGCCAAGTTATCATGCTCAGATTCCATCTTCTCTGGCATTATCATAACACCAATCATCTTTATCTATTGTACTGCCAGCTCATCCCTTCCTTTCCTTTTAGGCTAAGCATGCAGCAGAAATAGGAGCAGATGGCATAGCTGTGATCACTCCCTCCTTCTTCAAACAGGTGAACAAAGGTGAGTAGCCCATTCGATGGTGGACCGTGTCCCTGTTAGAAATGCCCATTGCCCTGTCCAGACCTTCTTGCTGCTCTTTTGAAGCTCGCCAAGGCCCCTCCCAGCGGCCCCAGAAGTGCCCCAGTGGCACAGCCCGGTGTCTCCTGTCCCAAGGAGCTTGTTTTAAAGGGCGTCTAGTCTGAGTTTGGATAGCTAGCTGTGAAAACGCCCATCCAAGTACCTGGGGAAGCAAAACGTTGTTGAACAGAAAGCGCACAACAGGAGCGGAGGATTTAAAAGGGCGTGCACTCAACACAGACGTGCACACACAAAAGGGAAGGGGGAACTGGAAAGCAGCATAAAAATACAAAGTTCAAATTGTGAGCACAGTTCCAAAGCTCTTTGACCATCTCAGACTTGAAACCACAAAGCTAGCTAACCTGCCTCGGTTACCAGATACAATCCTCAGCTGGGCTTTCCTGTGAGTCGTGTAGCCAGGCACTGATGAACAGGGCCGCTGGTGACAGCTGGTTCCCCTCCAAAGAGGGAACCAACAGCGGCCTGAACGCTGCCACTTATTCCCCCCTCGAGCCGTCGGAGCCCTCGGTTCCATGGGGTGACGTCCCTTGCGCGTTCCCAGGTGGGACCTGCTGATTAATGCCCCCACCTCTGCTGTGCTCTGCCCCAGGGAATGTGCATTGTGCTGTCCTCGCATGACTTGCAGCATCCCTGGTGTTTTCCTCGTCCTCCCTCCACCCAGCCGAGGTGCCGAGACAGCCCGGAAACCGCCGGCTGGGTTCTGCGCGCCCAGGTCTTGCTTTACGTCCTTCCTGACCCCCACGGCGTTGCGCCATCCGTGCATCTGTCCGGATATTAGCCCACAGCTCCCGTGCTGGGCTGAGGGGCGCTGGGCTCACAGTGCGGCACGCGATGTCCGTGGATTGTGTTCATCTGCAAAACCGCCCCGTTTCCCACTGCCTTCTTTGCTTCATCTTTAGACGGGCTGGTCGCCTTCTTCCGGGACGTTGCCTCTCAAGCACCCAGCATCCCATTCTATTATTACCACATTCCAACCCTGACTGGTATCCAGAGTAAGTGATGCTCATGCGGATCGTCCTCCTAGTCGGTCTAAATGCAATGAGGAGGCTCAGTTTCGGCTTTTTGCTTGACGCTATTTTACATTCCTCCGTGGAACGTAAGCCAATGTCCATGGAATGGTGTGCCTGGAACTTCGGGCATTATGCGTCCCCAGGAGCTCTACCTGCCGGGCCCGAACCAGGCCCAGAAGGGACTACCTTCCCCCTTGTGGACCTTCAGACAACGTGCAGGCAGCTCTTTCCTAAGAGGGCATCCTTCCAAGTGGGCCCCATCAAATGCTGATGAACTGACGTCTTGGTAAACGTGCCCGAATTGGCGGTGGTCAGGACAACCTAAAAAATCTGCAAGGGCAGAATTAAGAAATTGTCTCAGTGATATTTCTGCTATGAGAACTTTGTATAAGTAGAATGGTCCTGTTTAATTTCAGCACTGGACATAATATTGGTAAATTTACTAGAAAGTTACAATGAGAAGTATAGTCATAACTACAGGTAAATGCCATTTTATCTCTCTCTGCTTATGCTAGTGTAACCGAGAGGTTCTTTTTCTGGTCTATCTGTCCCAGGAATGGGCAAAAGGTAGGCTGGGAACTACTGGGAGATTTGAAAAAGATTTGCAAGGATTTCTGACTCCAATTATGTAACAATAGCAATGTCTCTCCATTGTCTTAAGTTACAGAGAGAGGACATTTGGGGTGACCTGAAGTGGATTTTTGTGCTGACGGAATATGAATTCCATTCAGTTCTGGTCCCAAGAACAAATTCCTGAGCTCAGGATTCTAAGTGTCTGTGATTCTGCATGGCTCCAATCTGTGAATCTCCTAGTACAAAACAGACCCTACAGGGCCTGAATTGTGCCCACCCCAATTCTGATTTAGAATCACTGCAATTGTCATGGCTTCCCCCAAATAATCTACAGGATTATGTTTCAGTGGGAGCACTGAGATTACTCTTTGACATCACTTTGCCCTTCAAGAACTACAATTCCTAGAATTCCTGGTCTGAAGCAAAGGAATAATTCACTTTACATATAGGGTTTACACTATAGTCCATCACATCACCAGAGAATTCTAATGTTATTCTTCCCAGAATGAAGAAAAGGAGATTTTCTGGGTGTTCTTCTTAGACCTTCATGAAAGACTGCAGGGGAGAATTACAACAGGCATTGTGTGATTGCAGTGGTAATGTACCTTGTCTGGTAAGATCTGAAAACAGGTTATTGTGATTCTCTCTCTCCCTCCCTCCCTCTCTAGTTCGTGCTGAAGAGCTGCTAGATGGGATGAAAGAACAGATTCCCAGTTTTCAGGGTCTGAAGTTCAGCGACACAGACCTCCTGGATTTTGGACGGTGTGTGAAAAAAAACACTGAAGGCAAATTAGTGCTCCTGTATGGCGTGGATGAGGTGAGGACTTCCTATGTGAATTACTAGGCTGTAGGAGAACCCCAAGATGGCACAAAGGCACTGTAGCCAAGTTGGGCTGTTCTTTTGCGGTTCTCCTAGATCTCACCGGTCCCTTTCCTAACCAAACAAGAAGTTGGTGTGTTCCACATTTCGAGCTACCTGCTAGCTACTCAGTGGGTTGGAAAATGGAGAGCAAGTCTGCAATGTAGGTAGCAGAACAGTTCAGAGAAGGAACTTTGGGACAGGGTGGGAAGAAAGGAACACTACCCTAGCCTGGTGGGATCTCAGGCAGTGGTGGGCTGGGCTGAACCCAAAGGAGTTGGGTGCATAGGAAGGGGCAGGTGGCTGCAATGCAGCACAGTGGTAGGGAAGCAAAATGGCAGACCATCTGCCCAGCTGACTCTGTACCAGGCCAGGTATCTCCTAAATTCTTCCGTAAGCCAAGAAGTCACCGCGGTGGTGACTTCTGGAGCAGCTTTCACCCAGCAAGTGTGGAAATACTCGAGCTGTTCGACGGAATGTCTCTTCTTGGCTCAGACTGCGTGGAAATAAACCTCACCCTTTTGTTTTGCTGCCAAGTAGCAACTCCTGAGTGCACTGACAGCAGGAGCAACGGGGGCAGTCGGAAGGTCAGTGTCTTGGGTCACCCTTTGTGCACGGAGGGGAGGGCGTTTGGGGGTGGTGCTGCGGACTCTGCAAAAAGGACTCTGGTGGAACGCATTCTGCCTGCCTGCACTGGCTCCGCTGACACGGCTGAGCGCCGAGTGTGAAGGCTTTGACCCAAAAACGTACGAGAATTCTTCTGTCTATGCGCCTAGTCTCTTCCTGGTTTCTCCTGTCGGCGCCATCCTGGTGCCTTCCGAATATCTGGGACTGTGTCACCTATTAACCGTAACCAGCATGGATAATGACCAGGAATTACGGGCGCTGCAGCCATGAGATTGGGCGATCACCATGCTGGGGAAGGCTGGTTTGGCATCTGCAGGAATATTCTTGTTAATAAAATGCAGCAGACCATTCCATGACCTGCAAAACTTTGTGCATCATGCCAGCCATTATGGGATGCACAGGCTTGCTGAGGAATTTAATCAAAGTGGGGAGGGGCACAGTTTTGGATTCTTGGCAGCGGCTGAACTCTGACACTTTTGGGAGTTGGGGGCCAAGACTAAATTGTAGCCATTCTTGGGGAATGAAAGGGCCTGGAAGTAGGAACTGGTGAGGAAAAGGCATAGGATGCAGGACAGAGGGGAAAAAAAACTTTTTTCCTGGTGCTTCGTTTTTTTGATCTGTTCTTGGGGCTATTTGGGGCATTGATTCAGAAAATTGGATTGGCTGGCCTGCATCAGCTCTGGTTTCTTAGATATGATCAAATTTATATAATTTTTAGTCAGTTTTTAATTTAATTTAATAAAACATTTTTATCCCATCTTTCACTAAACGTCTCAAGACGGCTTACAGTTTTTGAAAAGATCTTGCTGATCAATGTGTTCTTCTGTTACCTACTTAGTGTTTTTGCAGATATAGTGAGAGTGTTTGTGCATTTTGTAATTTTACATTGGAAACACTGGATTCTAAAGGGTAATTTATGAACTGTATTATAGTTTTGATCATATGGGAGGTGTGTGTATATATGGCATTTATACTGTATCTCAAAAACTAGAGCTGAGAAGGGAAAATTGGTGCCATTTTTGGAATCTGCGGGTTAAATATACCCAGGAACAGGCGTAACATTCGAGGCACCAAAACCTGTGTTGGCCAGTGACTCTACCAGCAGTACTACCGTTGCTGATGCTGTTACCAGTGCAGGGATGCTGTTGACCTGCCTGCAGTTGTGAATCTGTATTTCCTTTGTTCACTGGATTATTTTTTAACAGCACCTATAACTACTTCGGCAAGGCAAATAACTTAATGCTGGAAGCTTTTGTCAGAGGAGACCTGCACTCAGCACAGAAACATCAGGTAGGTGTCTCTGCCTGGAGCTGGTAACACCAGGACACCTTTTTTTCCTCCCTTGTATCACTGGTAATTCCAGCTCACTTTATGCAGCTAGAAAATTATTTCCACACCCTTTTCTGGCTCCCTCAGAAGGTCAGCTGGAGAGCCGTAAATCCTGAAATATGTCATTATGCAAAAGTGGCAGGCAAGCTACTCTAGCTTCAGGCTATCAACTGTAGCTCCATGCAGTTCGTGGAAGTCGAAGATCCAGACCTGCTCTGCGTAACACAGGCCCACTTGCCCTTCAGCATTACCTAGGCGAAAGCCTCAGGAAAGAAAGTTGAGAAGACATGGATGCCAATTGCTACAGATCTCCTGGTGCAAGCCCAGTGGGCTATTAGGCCCATCCTCAAGGCAGTGTAGCCCCTCAGGCCCTTGGAAAACCAAGTTACCCTTTCTTGCAGCTCTTCCAGCTCTGATTCCCACCCTTTCCACCTCTTCATGAAGAACCTGCATTCCCACAGTTTCTGAGGGCCGAGCTTGGCCGCCATCTTGGTCAGCCTCTTCTCTCTCCACTGCTGTTCCCGCTGTCTCTTGCACCCTCATCACCCATTCCCTGGGTGGCTCAGGATTGTTCCCCATGTCTTCTTGAAGCACTTCTGCAAATATGTGGGGCCCAGTCTCTCCACGCTGATTGGCCATGGGGCGAACACACAGAAGCAGGCTTCCGGGCCATTAAAACTCCCTGGGTGAGGCAGCTTCCTACACCTCCTGCACCTGCTATGAGCCTAACTAGCAGGGTGCTAGTCCACCTGCCACAGGTTCTGTGAACCCTGAACCAGCTGGCGGAACAAGGAGCCCTTTACAAGCCTCTGCCGGCCCCCAGCATCCTGCTTATCAGCTGTTGGGAGCTGGCTCCCTCTCCCAGCTGTGAGCTGAGCAGAAGAATTGCACTAAGAAGGCCAAGAGGTAAATAATCCTATGAAAGGCCATATGAATTTGCAAATTAGTGCTGCCCATTGAATCGGAGCCGCAGAATGTAATACAAGCGAAGTCCTATAATAATAGTGAAGTAACATTAATCTTCTTTTGTTTCTCTTAGTTCCATATCCAAGAGTTCCTTGGCTTTGTCATTGCCCAGGGTAGGTACTACAAGCAGTTTCAAACCCTCTTTGCTCCACCGGTATAATTACTCTAACATGGATGAATACTTCTGAATGCTAAGATCTTCTTGGGCAATAGAATTCCAATTCTGTCATCTAAGAAGGTCAAATACGCTTGCAAGACACCATTCAACCATCTATCATCCCTTTCTTCTTTGATAAAAATGCCCTTAACATGTTCTTCAGGTATAATTTTTCTCATAGCATCATAAAATAGCAGAGTTGGAATGAGCCATGAAGGCCCTCGAGCCCACCCTTCTGCTGTTGCAGGAACCGCGTTACATCCCACTCACACAGCCGTCCAGGTTCTTACTGAATGTTTCTCCTGTGGGAGAGCCCACCTCGCCTCTCGTTTTAATTTTCTGATTTCTGTATATTCAGACTCTGGCTTCCTTTCCTTTCCGAATGCAATTCTATTTTTTTATTATAATGGCGAGGCTACAGTAACAAGTCAGTAACACTAGGAAATGAAACACAGATAAGGGTGCATTTATTCCGTGCAAATTATTTGCCAAGTTGTTTAACATGAAGATAATGTTTACATCCATTTGGATTATAGGATAATGTCCATTCCTGTACAAATGGTGTGTGTGTATTTACAGTGCTTTGCTCTGACACTGTACTTGCTCTCCTTTGAGATTTCCACGTTTTTTGTTACACAACTTGGAAATGAAATCGATTCCATTGACATTAAGTTGATTTGCACAAGGTGCTCAGCATGAGAAGGTGCCGAGTTTTATTGTGGCACAATTTGCTTTTGTAAACGAAAACAAGCTGACACGGGTTGGTTGGTTAAGTATGCACCTCTGTAACTGTGGCACATGTAAACAAGGTCTGGTGTATTCCAGAAGTCAAATACTATAAGTAGTTGAACGGTGTGTGCCAGTTTGCAGTTCCAGGGGTCCATGAGCTCAGAGTCTGGTTCCGGAATGCCCATAATTTTTTGGAGAGCTTATCTCAACAAAAAGCTTCAAGAAAACCAAGAAATCCCAGAGAAATCTGGGATCAAGTTCTGCAGAAGCACCACCTTAAGATCCAGATGTGCAAAGCTGATAAGAGTCTTACCCAAGAAGACTTGCAACTGTAATTGCTGTCAAAGGTGCTTCTGCCAAGCAGAAACTCAGAGGTAAACATTTATGCAACCAAGTGCCAGTGGTTGTTTACTTTTGTGCCACAATAAGAAACATTTTCCACCTTTCAGATACTGAGTGTCTTATGTGTAACAAGCAGCAACAAAGCCACTTAAATCCATTTCAGTTCCAGTTTGTAACTCAACAAAATTTAGAAAAGTCACAGGGGCCAATCCTTCTGCAAGACACTGTATCTGTTTTCATGTTTTCCATCCGTTATATTTGTGCAATGCTGTCCTGCTCGATGCAATAGAATTTAGCTAAACTGTGCAGATGTTTCAGCTTTAGCTGCAGTGATACTCACACCAAGTAATAAATGTGTGTGTGATATGCTCAGCTGGTGGGGCATCGCAACCACGGCTTGGCAAGCCTCGTTTTCAGCTCTCAGCTCTGCCCCGAACAGCTTCTGCCCCACCTGCAACATGGAGATACTGCAGAACGTCAACATGAGGATGCACATGAATTTTATTAACGGATATAAAATATCTTTTGGGGGGGGGGGGTCGTGAGGCCGGAGTGCTCTTCCTAATTACTCACACAGGAACAGGCAATAAAGGTTTAAAAACTTTTATTCCAAACAACTTCAAAGATATGCAGGCAATGGGATGATACAGGAGCTGTTAGTAGCAGTCCTAAGCACAGCAATCTTCTCGCTCTGAAGCCTGACCCTCGCTGGGAGCTTCTTGCTCTCTTACTCACGCTAACGACTCCTCTGAGTCGTTAGGCATGATAGGGTTGGGGGTTACAATGGTTTTGCGTTATGGGCCATGTGTGTTCGTCATGGTGTGGCATAAGAGGTATATTTGAGGGTTTTCTATATGGTGTTTGTGTTTCTCCTTATAGGCTTTGGAGTTCCACAGATCAAAGCAGTCATGACTTTGGTATCAGGGATACCCATGGGCCCCCCACGCCTCCCACTCTTGAGCGCCTCTGCGGAGTTTATTGACGAAGTAAAAGCCAAACTGGAGAGCTTACGGAACCACCTCTCCGGTTGACCTGAACACGGAAGTGGTCTTCGAAGCGTGGGCCCATGCGACTCGGCGATCTGGTATCGCCCGAAATGTAGTATTAGAGATAACACAGTGACGGCACAACTTTCATGAGGGGATTGGCAAATGGGTCTGGATCGCGTGGCTGTCTGTCCATGTCCTCTCACCTTGTCTGTGTGGAAGGTGGAAGCTGTCTGCCCCTAGGCTCTCATGGCTCTCCAAGAGAATGAAGCTGCTCGTTTTGAAGAGAGCAGGATTCCATTTACAGGAAGTGATGCGGTCCCATTGCTGACATTCTAGGATTCTTGCTGGGGATAAGGCAGAGCATGGATTGGGCTGACTGACCGCTGTATTTCTTGTAACTTTTATCTCGGAACAAAAGAAAGAGTCCATAACTGAAAGCTCTTAGTCTTGTTTTACAACTGTAGAACTCAGACTCTAAGCTGCGGGATGATTAGAAATTAGTTCTGGAAATGTGCAAGGTGTTTTAATGTCCTCATGAATAGTAAAGTGTTCAGCCAGAATAATGCTCCCCAGTCCTAATGAATGTTGTCTATTCTAACTCAGAATAACTGCTGATTTAAGCCAATGAAGGAGTTACAGTACAGAGAAGTGTATGTATGTACAGAAATAAGTCCCATTAATTAAATGGCACCTAAGTTCCTCAGGTCAGTGTAGAAGTATACAGTAAAACAGCTGCATTCTCTTACTTTCCATACACTGGAAGTGGAAAGGCTTCTTGTGCTGCTCTAGGACTTCACTGTTTTGGTGTTAAAATGGCTCCTGTAATAGCAGGGGTGTGTGTGTGTGTACGGACACACACACACACACACACACACTTCTCCCTGGGCCTCACTGCCAACCTAGGAAATTCAAGCAGCTGAGAGGGGCCTCCAAATTTTTCAGACCCTCACCAATGCAGTGTTTTTAGCAGTTGCAAGTGTCGGGGCACCTCGATAGCAGCCAAGAGACAGGATATCCGGGTTGGGTCAGGAAAGACCCCTTTCACCTTGAACCTCGGCAGGTCTATTGGAAGATCCTTCAGGCCCCCTGCAGTTCCTTACGACAGCCAGCGGGCTCCCGGGTGGTGGGTCTCACTGCCAACTACAAAATCACAGCCCATGCAGGTATTTTTATAACCTTCCAGTCACATACAGAGTATTAGGTTTCCAGATAATGCTAACATAATAGCATCTTGATGTCTTCATACACAACGCAATACTCTTAACGGATCAGAAATGCCTGTGACAACAGAATAGGAAATTTCCCTGACTGAGCCTTATTGGCAAGTCAATCCAGCGAATTCCTGACAGTTTGGATCAGCCTCTGTCTGCTTAAATATACAAATGTGTCTGATTGAGGAACCACTCCGGAAAACTGGTTTGGCAACTACACTTGCCTCTGTTAAGCTAGATGATTAAATGGGTCCATTCAGAAACAAATGGACACCTTTGGCTCAGCTCGCTGCAGCTGATGAGAACACAGGTATTTCCCCACTGATGCTGTTAGCCTCCAGCAGCTTCTCAGTCCAGCTAAGAATTCCTACTTCTTAAAGGAACAGCAATGCCAAACAATAACCCAGCTTGGAATTCTGCTGCTTTCTGAGAAAGGGGTTCAGGTTTGATTTTATAACACAAAGGTACATAAAAGCAACCTCCTTCTCCCAGAATTTATCTGAATTTCCCAACACAAGCCATGGTGCACATGGTGCAGGCGCAAAGAACATGTTGCTGACTGCAATTCCCATCAGCCTTAGCCAGCACAACCAAAGGTGAAGGGAGACAGGAAGTGCAGTTTGATGGCATTTGGAGGGCCTTCTGCTGCAGCTGCCATTCTTGGAAGTGGATGGATCTTTCATCTTGAACGTGAACGAACAAAGAATAGCAAAATCCTTTTTCCTTCTCCTTTTTGGGTTGAAATTTATCAATTGAGCACCACATGGGTCAAGCAAGGATGCCACAATCAAAGGTCGAGCCAAGGTTTCTACGGAGAGCAGATTCGTTTCGTTTACACACACGAGGTGTGTTCAGGTAGCTTGCGATAATTAAGTGTTCTGGGAGAACACTTTAGCCTGGGCTTCTCTTTCTCCCCTTTCACAACCGAAGGCCTTGCTGTCACCACTTTCTTAAGCAGCCCAGCTGCCAAGAGGAAGTGCTGAATTCTTGCTATTTCTGTTTGTTCCTTGGCTTGTTGTGTGTTGCCCACGGCCCGAAGCTCTTCTGCACGGCGCACAGAGCAAGCAAGCCTGGCCTGCTCTCTGCGAGGTTTTGAGGCAGTACCCGGGCTCCCTCTTCTGGCCAGAGAGCGGAATAGCAGCCCTGGTGGTTGCAGGAGGGGCCCACGGGCAATCGCAGCCACCAGGGATGCTCCGAGCACCCCCTGCGAGCCCTGAGGGAAGGACTGTATAAGAACCAGCTCCCCCCTTCAGGCCTGGCCTGAGCAACAAAAGGTTTTTGATGTTGCTGGAGCTCCCTGCGCCTTCTGGGACCCCTGCCTGCTGCCTTGCTCCTGCCTCTGCTCCTGCCCCATGCCCACATCCACCTGTTCCAGCTTCTGTTCCAGGCCCAGGTGTCCACTTCTCCCTGGCTTGTCTCTCTGGCTTTCTCCCCCCCCCACCCCACTTTTAATTTTTTTTGTATTTAATTTTTTTAATACAGAAAAAAAAACATAAATACAAACACATCACAATATGAATAATATGACATACAAAAGCTCAACTAATAATTTAAAAAGGTAAATAATACAGTGCCCCACCACCCTGGAGACCAATAATACCTCCACTTTAATTCATAAATTATAACAATATATAATATACTTCAATTATATCCATATCCCCTCCAAAAATACATACAATCTTGATTAGGTTTATAACTATTACCTTCTATCAGTACTGCTTTTACAAAATCTTCCCAAATTTCATTATATTTATTTGCTTTTATTAACCCTTTTTAAATTTTTATTTCTGTTGTCAGTTCATCATTTATTACCATATTCCAAATTTCATGATACCAATTAGGGGGACATTTAAATCTCGGCTGCAAATTTGGAATTTATCCAAGAGGTATTTCAACAGGGAAGCTCTAAAACGATTTGCACAGGAACGAATGAGGGCGTTTTACTTGTACGAGCATGAATAAAGGGCAAGAATTGCTTGTTCCTCTGCAACTGTTAATTAAAACTAACCGTTTGAGCAGTATACAAATTAAATAAACTGCGATTGCGTTGGCCACTGCGGCTTTACATACATTGCACGAGTTGCAGCTTTTGCATTTCATCGCCATTTGACTCCACTTTGCATTGCTGCCGCGCTCTACAACCGAGTGTGTGTCTAGCCCTTTCGGTACCTGAAGAAGCGGTCCTTGAAAGGTTTGTGTCGTTATAAATGCATTTGTCTAAAGGAGCCGCAAGAACAGCGGTTGCTACCGCAGGCGACAATAGCTCTGTTCTGCACCTCCTGCAGTTCCACTGCCTTCCGCGGGAGGCGCGCTCTCAAGTCCCTGCGGCGAAATGGCCCACTGCGCTCTCGCTCCGCGCATGCGCGAAGATGCCGCCATCTTGGCGGGGCGTAGAGAGCGGGAGCGGCTGGACGCGAACGTCTTGAGAAGGCGGCTCTCTTGTTGGCCAGCACTTGAGGTAAAGTTCTCCCCGGCAGAACAAGCCTGGGCTTGCCAGAATTTCTCATTTCCCAACCCCAGTTAATAGTTTGGACGTGCTGATCTTTGCGTTGTGGGGTTTCTAAGAGAGAAAAAAAATGGGCTTGAGGTGCAAAAAGAAAGGGACCCCTGGGAACCGAGTGCGCAGGTGCGACCATGGAGTGCGCGAGGAATGCGCCTGCGCAGGGGGACCTGGGAAGAGGGAGGGGTCACTAGACGCATGTGTAGTAGAGCTGTCGGGGCTGGAAAGGGGGACGGGCATGAACTGCGCATGCGCAGTTGCGCTCACTGTAACCGGCTTCCGCGTTTGGGAGAAAGTAGCGGTTTTCGGCCTTGAGAGGCAGTGTCTTATAGTGGTTAGAGTTTTGGACCAGGGATCTGGGCTCTAGGCCCCGCTTGGCTATGAAGTTCACTGACTTTGGGGCAGTTATAGACTTTCAGCCAAACCTTCCTCACAGGGTTGCTGGTTATATGATGTCATAATAATAGCAAACAGCAATTCACAGATTTGACCTTAGATCACTGTTTTGCCCTGCTAAGAGAAGTAAAAGTACAGGATGCCTGCGTGCAAATGTGTGTAGCCCTTAGAGTGCATTGTGTTCAACTGAACTCTGGCTTAGGACCGGTTTGAGGAGGGGTAGGCAGCTTGTGGCCCTGCAGATGTTGAACTGCAGCTCACATCACTCCTTACCACTTCCTGGCGCTGGCTTTGCTGGCTATAACTGATGGAAGTTGCAGGGCACCAACTTCTGATGGGCCACCCATTCTCAAACCCTGCTTTCAGGGGCTGGTGGAGGGATGTATTAGTGTAACAGGAATTGCAAGTGCTGCAGTCTAAGAATATGGGGAGGGGTGTGTTTTGCCGAACATCCAATGCAGCGCCTCCTGAAAGTGAGCAGGACTCAACCTGGGAGTTGATAGAAAATCCTGATGCTCCATTTGAAAGCATGATGTAACAGTGCTGTTTGTTGAATGGATGGATAGTTATTGTCCATTCAAAATTGCTCATACACTACTACTCGGTCTCTCTTATTTATTTATTTATTTATTTATTTATAGCATTTTTATGCCGCCCCCATCGCAGAAAGCCTCGGGGCGGCTGTTTCTACTGCTCATCTGTATTAATGGCTTAAGAAGCAGTTGACACTGCAGGGTTGTTGTAAGCTGCTCCTTTAGTTCACACATTTTAGCTTGTATTGTTCATTATGGACTGAGGAACTGCAGAGGGTTTGTTTTATTGTTCAGCCATTTTAAAATGCCAGATTCCATCTCACACTAAGACCTAGTTTTTCAATTGTATGAATTCCTGAATTTGTTTCTACTTTGAGTTTGTTGCATAAAAGAGAGCAGTAGAAACAGGCAACAAACAGCTGTTAGCTACAGAAAAGACCTGGATTTCTCTTGTTGGTGAAGGCAGACATGCCATCACTAACAGGGAAGTGCTGTTTCTAGACAAATGATCAAGCTCATACTTAAAGCCTGTCTTTCTCTCCTGTAGAGCCTTATCTCCCCCTCACGGCACCTGCCATGGGGGATGTGAAAAATTTCTTGTATGCCTGGTGTGGAAAGCGGAAAGTGACCCCAGCTTATGAAATCCGCGCTGTGGGTAACAAGAACCGGCAGAAGTTCACATGTGAGGTGAGGGTCTGGTGTGTAGTTTGGTCTGTGTGCCACTCAAACCAATTATTCCTCAGTTGCTTTGCTATGGACTCATGCAAATTGCTTGGGAAAAACTTTAACAGCTAAAGAGAGATATTTGGCTTGCCTGCTAAAAGAGTTTGACAGTATCAGTTTTTTAAGGGCACGATCCTATGCAAGTTTAGAAGAAAAAAAATGCTGTAACTCTCACCATTCCTCTCTCAGACACAGTTGGTGTGGAATGCTCAGAATTGTAAAATGCTTTGTCTAAACAGTCGTAAGATTGCAGTATTACTTATTCAGCTTGTGATCCAGTCAGGATTAGGCGCACTTCAGGCTCATAAACTTCAACATACGTGTTTGTATGGAAAGCACATCCTCCTTATTTAACAGGTAGAATACTAATTGATTTTGAAAAGACTATTCCTTTATTTCTTGCTGAGTTAGATTAAAATTTTGGTTTATTTTGAGTACTTTTGGGATGTTGTTGTCTTTTGTGTCTTCTCCATTTTTTGCTGTGCCATAAAACTTTTCCCCAGATAAACTTTTGTTCATATACATTGTCAGTTTAAATGGTTTGAAAAGTATATTTCTCTGGAATTTCACATTAGATTCCATTGGTTGTTAAACTATACTACCCCTTGCGTTCTGTGGATATTTCACAAGGTTCTATAGAATTTTGCAACCCCTTAGCTTTGGGAAAGCAAATCTAAGCACGCTCTGAAAATCTTTCTCATTCTTTGTCATTAGGAGTTAACCTCCCCACCTCTGTCACTGAGGCCTTTTTTCAGGCTGGGTGGTGTCAGCAAATCTTTATTCTTTTCCGGGGAATCTTAGCAAAAGGCCTGTAGGGATAGCCTGCGGTACAACTGAGCTACGGACATGATCATTTCCCTGGTCTGGATTGTTCTCTTAGGACAATGGGAGTCATTTATCGTAAACACTGTAAGCTGTTTAACCTGCTTATGGGATTTGTTCAGATTAAGAGGATTCCTTGGGGCCTACCAAATTGTATATCCATTTGTTACAGGTTCGAGTGACAGGCTTCAACTATATTGGCATGGGCAACTCTACCAACAAGAAGGATGCCCAGACCAATGCCGCGAGAGACTTCCTTAACTATCTTGTTCGAGTGAATGAAATCAAGAGTGAAGAAATTCCAGCTTTTGGAGTAAGTGGTTCTGTCCTGTGCAGATTACATGGTATATTTACCACTCTTGGTGGATGCAATGGTTTCCTATTCAGGAGCTAGTAGCACTTGAATAGAAGCACTTTTTGTTTCAAAATCTGATACAAGACTATATTCTGTAGTCACAAAATATGCAAAGATGCATGCATTTATGACGTTTTCATTGTATATTTTAATAGAGAAAACGGAGGTACTGCAGAAATACAAAATGTATTTTTAAAAGACTGTGGTTGAAGGAGAAACAAAAAAGAAACACCATGGGAAAATAGCATTTATATATGGTTATAAACAGTGCGGTTCTAAGCTTGGTTATTGAAAAATTAGACACTTGGATTCATTGGATTTATTCATTAGTATTTCTGTCTCAGATTACTGTCTGGCACTTTGAGGGTACACTGTATCCCTTTAAAACATTAAGCCTTTTAGTCATTCCCATAAAGACTGGCTTAAAAACAGAAAATAGAAAGCAAAGATATATAGGAATGCATAGTCTGTGGAGCAGAGTGCATGTTACGTACATATGTCTAGGCAAGGTTTGTAGCAGTGAACGGACTACAAAGGGAAAAAACAAAACTGACCCAGGATCCCTTTTGTAACAATTGTCTGCTTGAGCTATGGGAGAACTTTTCAGGGCTGGAAAGAGTGTGTTTTATGTGGAATGAAGCATTGTAATTTGCTGAATACTTGTTCCTGCTTAGGCAGGAGCTGTGGGTGCACCTGGTGGAGGTGTGACTGGGGCAGAAGATGGTACAGATGGATTGGATGCTCCTTTTGGAGGGCCTCTTCCACCTCATCTGGCTCTTAAATCAGAAGAGGGTAAGACCTTGAATATGTGAAGTCTGCACATTGCCAGAAATCTACAAGGTATAGTTGTCTTGATAGGCAGGTTTCTTTAGCCAGCAGTGAAGGGGATGATTTATTTCCTTCAGCTACTTCTATGAAAATAGTCTAATCCAGTTATATTATCGCAAGGAGATGCCATTTTCTCATGCCTAGTGAATAATCCAAAATGTTGGCAAATGTTGAAAAAATTTGCATTGGTTGTCAGAGTTAGCTTGCGCTCCTGTAAACCACCAAACACTTCATTTCACTTTTTGAGCTAAAATGTTTGATTTAAAATTGAGTTAAAAATTGAATTAAAAGTTAAAATCTCAGTTCAAAACTGAGATGGGAAATCTGTTCAGATTATAGAATAAGGCTCAATGTTCAGCTGTTGCCAACTATATATTTGGACTCTTAAGTCTGGAGCAATTGGATTTATATTTGGGAGTAATTCTGTTGAGCCAAATTATGATTTTTTTCTGGACTGATATGCATATATTCAACTTGTAAAACCCACTGGGCATTCGTAGAACAAATGGCTTATCTTCAGCCATCTTAAATGCAACCTTTGATTTTAATTTAAAACATTAGCAAATTTTTGCTATTTAAACTACAAGCCTGAATTAGGCATTACCTTGAAAGAAAAGAAGGTTCTACTGAGTCTTTCCCTTGCATGCTCTTTCTATTTCTATATATTTTGGGCAGTTCTAGCACAGTAGTTTGACATGTTAAAACTGAGTGATTATAGAAAGTCTGCATACCCAAATGGGATAACTCCATCCTGCATTCCCCCAGTCTTTTTTTTAAAAGAAGAATTCCTGCTTGCCATACTTGATTAGTCTAGAGAAGACAGCTGAACAGGTATTCTCCTGTAGTACTGGCTAGGCATCTCTCCACACCTTTTGAAATCTGAACTAATAATCACAAACTGTAGTAAAACTTAAACTACTTGCCAGATAAGGGAGAATCTGTTTCCACAGTTCTGGTGAGTGAGTTTGGTGTGAGGAGAGGTCACTGTTCATACCTTATAAACCAAGAGTGTTGGGCGAGGTAGAACTGAAGTTCTGGTATGTTCTGCACCTCTTCCAAAATTATTGATGGCATGTGCTTTAACCACTAGGAAACATTGGTGTTTATTTCTTCCCTAGTAGATGATGCTGTTCCTCCAGGGATTGGAAGCTCCGGCTATGGTGGAGCTCAGTGGGACCGTGGAGCTAATCTTAAAGATTACTATTCCAGGAAGGAGGAGCAGGAGGCCCAGGCAGTAAGTCTCTCCCTTTATCTCTGGTTAGCTGAACTCACCATTACAATTCCACATTTGTTGCCGCCTCTTGATTCAGTGTATCTACTCCCGTATGTTTTGTGGGGAGGGTGGATGGATTAAGATCAGTGGAGACAAATAATTCTGTAGATGATGCCCAAATGTTCGACATTTTGTTCTCCTTGATGAAATGAGATAGTGACCTTTATCCTGCATCATGTGTACCTAGATGGCACCACTCCCACATTTTGTTGTGCATTTTACACATAAGTAGATGTATAATCTAGTCTTCCTAGGATATTGTCTGATTATAGACTTACTGAAAACGTCCCCAAATTTCAGCCTCCTGTCTTTTACAGTTTTCTTTCTGTAAACCAAAATATTCCTGGGGCACAAAATTCTCCAAAATTTATACAAAGGAAAGCCTGTAAAGTACTTCTGTTACAGCAATCAAAGGATAGGTTTTGTGGCAGGAAGAAGGTTAAATACAGGTTATCCTACTTTGTTTTGAAAAACATTGCAGCTAAAACTTTCAGCAAGAAGAATTAATATCTTTTGAGGAAAGTTAGAAGCCAAACTGTGGCTATTCTGCTTGAAAGTTAATACACCAAGAATTCTTAGGCAGACTTGACTGCTTTAATGAAACCTGAAATCCATTTTTATGCCAATTCAAATCTTCTGGGGGGAGACATTCAGTCAGATGGAGACTTTTAATATATGCAGCATCTGCCTTGTCCAATACAGTTTTGTCTGCGGTTGTAACATGAGCCCATATGTGAGTAATGCTTGTTTTAAAATTAATACTGGATAATTCTGTGACAGTATGTTTGGGATGTAGTCAAGGAATTCTGAGAATTCTACCAAATAGTTTTTAAAAGTCATTCTTATTGTGTGTTCAGAGTCCCAGTGTGCAGAAGCAACAATTTATTCCTAGGATTCCTTGAGGAAATGTTCAGCCAGCAGACAAGATGATCAAGGAAACTTTAATACTGTTTTATATACACAGACACATGATAGAGTTAAAGGGTGGTGCTTGTAAACTTTGTAAACTTTCTTATCCCTAGACCTTGGAGTCAGAAGAAGTAGATTTAAATGCTGGCCTTCATGGAAACTGGACCTTGGAAAATGCCAAGGCACGCTTGAACCAGTTTTTCCAAAAGGAGAAGATCCAAGGAGAATATAAATATACTCAAGTGGGACCTGATCATAACAGGTTTGCTGTTTTTAATCCTCCGTGTTGCTGGTAATGTGGAAATGCTTCTTGGTTGTCTGAAAGACGGGCTTTTGCTCTGGACTTCCAAATGAGGAATAGACTTGGCTGAATGGATCAGCTGAGTAAAAGCAAGAAGCATGCCCTCTTCCTTACAAGGGATCAAAAATCATGTTAATCTGCTGGCCTTATTTCTTGCTCCCTTTTCTTGAATTTGGAAACTGTCTCTGTTTTGTTTTTGGGTTTGTTTGTTTTTTTTAAAGACTCATTTTATTCACTTTCTTAGTAGATAAAAATAACAGCTCTGCTTCATGATTTTCATGTAGGAGTCATAATTTGTGGCAATCAAGAAGTTGAAGGCCCTGTATAAAAACTGTTGGGTTTTAATACCATAATATAAAGAGATGCAGGTCAGTGGCAAATATTCTTTAAGCCTGAGCTTCATATTACATAAAATGTCACAGAGGAATGCTTCTTGGGTTCTTGGATTACAGGAGTGGAAAGGCCACCAGGATCCGAGAATTTTTTAATGATTATCGGTGAGAAAAAATAAAATTTTTGCATGTAGGAAACTAGCAGATGAAGGACATGGTGTGACAGCAACTGCTGCTTTTCACCTCCTGTCTAGCCTAAATGCAAGGAGGAGAACAGAGCCTCGCTATTGCTGTACTGCCCTCGCTGGAGAAAAACCACTTGCTGCTTTGGTAGCTGCCCAGCCCCATCCCTTTAAAGCCGAGAGAGAAAATAGGAGCAATATGCCGCCATCTTGCTTTATGACAGCAGTGATGGGGTGTTTCTGAGCTGCTTGTAAAGGGCTGAGAGGAGACAGTGTCACACAAGAGCACCCACTGTTAGTTCTGACCTGCAAGTTGCTTGCGGCAGCGAGAAACTTGCTGCTTTGAAGGACATCAAAGGGATGCTGTTAAACAATCCAGGAAGACCCCCCCCCCCCAATGGTCAGATGCGCTGTAGGCAGGGATAGGTGTAGGGGAAGGGCTGCAGTGTGTCGCTTGTTCCTATTCCAGCAACTCCATGGTTTGTTGGACAGGGTATGCTATATCCAGACTGGGCAATTACATATTCAGAGTCAGATTTAATTTCTCGCTTGAAACGGTCCCCATGTTGTGTATGCTCGTTTTTCTTTCAGCTCCATCTGGAGATGCATCTTTGTGCATTGCTTTGAATATTGAAAAGCATGCTCAGAGTTGCCATCTTTTTAATGGCAGTGCTCTTGTGTGTTTAGCAGCAGCCTGCCATGCAACAACCAAGCAGCTGAAGCTTTTCCTGTCTCTCTGTGGCCCTGCCAGGGAAAACATCTCTCGCTTCACTTCTTCATGGTGCGCTGCTTTTTAAATGGAGGAGAGCAATGCTGATAAAAAGCTGGCAGCCCTAACTATGAATTCTTGAGAAGAGGCCAATATCAGAAAATTTTTGCCCTTCGGCTGTGAAATTGTACTTATATAGACTGACGCTTCTTCTCAAGTACAAGCCTTAAAGTTGGCTGCCTTGATGAAGATGAATGGGCCCAGTGCATGACAGTATGTTTCTCAGCCTCCTCAGTATGTTGCTGCTTTCCAGAGAACATTCTAGGGTGTAGGACTTGCTACTCCCAGGAAGGCTTGGAAGGTCACATGTGGTGGGGAAATGGGTGTTGGAAAAATACTGTGCGATGTCCAGTGCTTTAGATCTCACAGAATTTTAAGTTTACTTAGCAGTAAGAACAAGAAAAATGCATGTTTGCTGTAACCAGTTAACTGCAGCCGTCTGCTAAGAGGTGATTTTCCTGAGAAAGCATGGATTTTATTGTATTGATGAATTTTGATGTTTCATAGTTGCTTTGTTGGTCTTGCAATTCTTGATAAGCAATATTTTCCTTTCCATTCAGTGCAGATCGGTGTTGTGTGTTGCCTAGAAAAGCTTGAACTGAATGTTTTTCCTGTGTCTTCTCTCAGATGTTTTTCCAAGAACCAAATGTCATTCAATTGATAAATCTAACTGGAGGTTTTAAAATGGAAAGCATGTAGTGTGTTTTAATTATGCATTCAAACAAATTCATATTTTTGGGAAAATTACTGGTGTTGGAATATTTGGAAATAGTTTAAGACATATTTGAAAGTGGCATGCTTTCTCCTTTCATGGGACCCTTTCAGACATAACAATGAAGCTGTAATTCTGTATACACTTAGTTTGGAGTAAATCCAATTGAATATAGTTTGACTTACCTCTGAGTAAATATATTGGCTGCTTCAGCTTGTCTTTTAAACCATGGTTTGGCATTATGTGAACTGGCCTGCTTGAACCTCAGGCACTTGTGATTCCCCTTCCTTTTTGACCTCTTGTGCATGCTGAAAGAGATTGGAATTTTCTGCTCTTAAACTAAGCAAAGTTTCCTGTTACAACCAGATTCAGGGAATTCTGTTTGGTTTATTCAAACCACAGTTTAAACTAGTGTCAAGCTGTGGTTTGTGATCCTGGCTTGTCCAGCAATTAAAGTTTAAACATGGGAGAGTTTAGATATAAGGGCTACCTTCAAACTGAAAGTGTATGTTTTTTTCCCTCTGATGTGCACCAGAGAAGGAAGGGGGTGTGTGCCGTTCCAAAGTTCAAGCAGGCTTGTTCTTGAAGTGCCAGTCCAGAGGTTTTTTTATGGAAAGAAATCTCTGAAAAGTATTAACATGCAATTTTTATCTCATCTGAAAACCTGTGGACATCTTTTTTTGCATCTAGCTAAATTACTTGTATGAAAGTGAGCGAATATGCTTCCTATGGATAAACAAGTCTATCCATGTTTAGCACAAGAATAGCAAACATTCTTGTGCTAAACATTATTTGCAACTTTGATACCTGACTGGATCAGAGAGGGTTCCCTGCCTTGGTGAAAGCAACAGATTTGTAATTGGAAGTTGTTTTGCACAAACCAAACCAGAATATAATTCTGAACACAAGCAGGTTTTCCTGTTGCACAAAAGGGGCAATGTATCAAATGGTGACTCGATAAGAACATGCGATGCAATTCCATGCTGACAGGGGTGGCCAACTGCGACACCAGAGATTTTTGCTCATTCACACATGTGCTGCTGCTTAGGCCGTACTAAGCAATCACATGGGACTCTATCGTAAATTGATTTCTGGTGTCGCTGTTCCCCCCCCAGGTGGAGGAGAATGAATTGAGTGCTGAATATAAGCCTGGCTGAGAAACATACTGGCATCGGTGTCATTAATGAAAGGGTGGCTGTTGTGTCCCTGAGAGCCAGTGGCCTTTTGACTCATGAAGCCGCTGTGCCTGAAGGTCAGTTCACGGGTGGTTTAGGAAGGGGCCTAAGAATGAACTCATAGCATCATCTAACTTGCTCTTTTGTTTGCAGTGAGATACTTGGGACCTTGACTAGGTGCAGGTGCCACACAGCTGCAACATAGTGGAAAGGCTGGTGGTACAGCCATTGGAGAGGAATTTCACCTCCTAAAATCGAAGGAGACACCGCGGGGTGCACCAGTTTTAGAAATCCAGTAGCTCTGTAAAAACCTTGTTCAAAAGCATGTTCCCTCTGAACAGATCTGATCTAGGCAGAAGTTTTAAGAACTAGGTATTGACTCCTCTGGTGCTGAATACCTGGGATCAAGTTAGTTTCAAAATCTAAGCCTTAGATTTGGATCGTAAACACATTTCCTAAGAAATAATACCTGTTCCCGGGCAAGAAGTAGATCACACTGAGATGTCAGGGAAAGGTATAAGGTTATGGCCTCTTCACATTGATGACAGTGGTATCAAATGAGCTTGCTGCAGCTAGAGCTTATTAAGAAAAACCTCTTGGTAGCTGAGGAAATGCAGTATCTTGTGCCAAATCAGGCTGTCCCTAACTCTGATCAGATCCCAGGACAGGTTCAAATAAGGTCCACATAGAGTTCTCTGTATATATTGCTGTCCTGGAAGACAGTCCCAAACTCAGCCATATTTGTCTTGGATATCCTGCTCATAGATGTGTCTCCTTTATTGGGAAAAAAACCCGGTATGTATATTGCTTGTCTTGCCAGCATAATAGTACTTTGGCTCCTGCTGTGCAGAGACTAAAGGCACACAACATCCTAAATGGGCTTCTTATAGACCATTTGGGTTTGGATTCCTTAAAGTGTGGATCTGTTCTTCAAAGAAGTTTTGTAACATTTCGAGTGTATATTATAAAGTGGCAATCTCAATGGATCCCTATTGCCCTATATATTTACTCAGGAGCTTCTGGGTTTTATTCTTTTATTACCATCCTTTACACGAAGCACACATTATGGAATCCAAAATATCATTTTAACAGCATCTTAATCTTTCGAGTCTTGATAGGGAGCATGTGGCCCTCCAGGTGTTGTTCAGTTGCAAGTCCCCTTAGCCCTCACTCTTGGCCGTACTGGCTCCCTCAGAGGAAATGCAGCCCTACAACTTGTTCCCCATACCTGCTTTAAAGTACAGGGAACATATCGGTGCTTGGGGAGAGCTGCTCATTTCACGAGCGCTTCAGAGTAAAATCATTTTGAAAAATCTTGAGTTCAATGTGTGGGAAACATGGATATATGAATTTTGAGAGGCTTTGCCTAATCATTCGGAAGAACCTGCCATGTTTGAGATGTGCCTAACTTGATCCATCTCAAAAATGAACATGCTAATGTTTCTTTCTGTGTGTGTTGCAGGAGTTTTATTGCAGAAATGACCATTTATGTTAAGCAGCTGGCCAGAAGTAAGTGTTTTCCTACTGGGATTGAGCATCATGGCAAGTTTTGTGCAGGTCCTCTTTAAAGGTCGTTTAGTTACTGATGGATACTAGTATGTTAGCTGCTCCAGCTGCACTTACTGGCATATCTTCTTCTTGACTAAAAATTTGCAGCAAAGAATAGGCTGGGCAGCTGGAATAAATATATGAAGTATAGTTCCCTTTCTTCCACCCCCTTCTATCTTGGCCCTTGTTGCCCCCTTAGGTGGTTGGGCCACACTGATGCAGCAACAGTCAACACTTCAGGCATTCTGGGTCCCATGGGTTCAGTGCCCTCAGCTCCCAGATCTCTGAAACATACTTTGCTTATTCATTGTCTTCCTCCCCACACACAGAGTTGAGAATAAGGTCATACTGGATGGAAAAAAGGGATTCCAGGAGCCTCTAAGATTGCCAGGGCTTCTTGTTCTTCTCAGCGCTGTCCAGCCATTGCACTCCCCTTCCGTAGTGAAAATAAACCAGACTGAAGGGATGAAAAAAAATCCTTGAAAAAGCTTATTGATTGTATAAACAGGCTCAGAATTTTGGCTGAGGTACTTGGAAAAAACACTTTCTTTGAACGGGTACTCTGATGGTAATTAAATTCTAGGACAATCACACTGGTTATAATTTCAGAGCATACACTGATGGTTTTCAGATGGTTACTATTCTACTTGTTCTTTAACATTCCTTTCTTTATTGGCCCCCATCACACTGAGTCCTTCTTTACTTCAGGAATCTTTGCTCGTGAACACGGGTCAAATAAAAAGCTGGCTGCACAATCTTGTGCTCTGTCTCTGGTCAGGCAGCTCTATCACCTGAATGTCATTGAGGCTTACTCTGGGCAAACCAAGAAAAAGGAAGGGGAATCGGTGAGTCCTGTGGGAACTCCTTGTACAGCCAGAAGATTGCAGTGTGGCTTCTGCAAAGCTCCCAGTTTGCTGTGGCTTGTTGTGTTGATTTGAATCCAAGCAGCAGAGCTGCTTGAGAGTTAGACAACCCCCAAATAACCCCAAAACAAGCCTAAATATTTCCTGCACCTTCTCATTTGCTTAGTATCTAGATAGATTTGTAAAAAAAATTTAAAACATCTATTTCCACTTTTAATATTTGCTGTTTGATAAGTCATGTTTTTAAGTTCTTTTTTATAGAATGGTTAGGCCATGTGTTGATTTTACACCTCATAGATGCATAGAATTTTTTTAAATGGAGGTTTGATATAACTGTTTTCTTCCTCTGAGCCCAGAATAGTTCATACTTTTCAAGTGCATTACTTTGCCAGGATGTATTTTGAGGTGTTTGATTACTTACTTATTCTGAACTCATTCTTACATTGCTCTTTTGGATTCTCATGTTAATTCCATAGGTGGAGCCTTATGAAGTCACTGTCTCCACTGATTTGGAAAGTCGATTGCAGAAAATTGTAGAAGAGATGAGTCTTCAAACTGTTCCACCTGTGAGTGTGCAGTCCGGAAAGTGTTGTTTCTTTCCCTTGTCCTTTCCCCACCGCATAGGATCCTGCCGGTTTTCATACAGCCAAGTTTTGTTTTCCCAACTTGCAGCCTGAAGATCCCAGCCTCCCCGCTGTGCTCAACATTGGAAAGCTGGCTCACTTTGAGCCATCCCAGAAGCAGAACCAAATGGGGGTTGTGCCATGGTCGCCCCCTCAGTCCAACTGGAATCCGTGGACCAGCTGCAATATTGATGAGGGTCCTCTAGCATACGTAAGCCTGCAGTTCCATAAAGGTCTCTTGTTTTTCCCCATAACATTCGTTTTTCTCCTTTTACAGAACTCTCTCACAAATTGCAGTAACTGCCCACTTGCTTTAGTTGTAGCTATTTTGAATAAATGTGTCTTCAAAACCTTTGTTCCTTTCCCAGGCCACGCCAGAGCAGATAAGCATGGACCTAAAAAGCAACCTCATGTATCAGCTGGAAAATGACCAAGAGCTGCAGAAAGTAAGTCAGCTGACCGTGTACAGCAGTGATTAGCTAGAATGCCTGGGCGCTCAGTTTTGTCAGCATCCACCTACAAATGGTCTGTCAGGCTCTGCAGTGCCTTGCTGTCACTTATCTTCCCCCTTCTTGTCGGTCACTGTGCTGGATGCTCTCGTCATTCACTGGGAGGTAGGTTCTGTAGAGGCAGACTTGGCTCTTCTGCTCTACAGCCAGTCACCTGCCATTTTCAGTGGATGCAGCTTTCAGTCTCTGACCTGCTCCTTCCCCAGTATGATGCATGTGCCTGGGCCAACGTGCACCCCTGTGAAATCTGTGAGAAGCGCATGTTTTCTGTGAAGGGAGGGAAGACGCTAAAGGGCATGCTCTGCTATCAAGAAAACTCTCAGTGCGGAAACGGCAGTGGGTGGCTTATTTGCTAAAGAGAAGGCGCCAGCCAGGGAAATGCCAGTTGCCAGATGATAATTACCCAATGCTAATGGCAGGTTATTTCCTGCCCAGATTCTTCAAGAGAGGGACACCTTGCCTGTGAAGAAGTTTGAGCAAGAGATTCTAGAAGCCATCCATCAGAACTCTGTTGTCATCATCCGTGGGGCCACAGGTTGTGGTAAAACCACACAGGTTCCACAGTACATCCTGGACGAATACATCCACAGTGGAAGAGCGGCTGAATGTAGCATAGTGGTGACTCAGGTGAGGAGCCCAATCAAACTCCGTGTGTGAATGATTTAGCAGGGATGACCCAGCAGGATTAGTAGTTGCCTTCCTGCATCTAACTGCCACTTTGCCCTGTGGCAGTTGCTGTGCATGCTGCCCCACGGAGCCTCTCATGCTAATTTGCCTGTCATCCATGAATGTCTGTAGTAGTTTACCTGGCGGTGGCTGAGGAGCTTAGCTTAATGCAGCACATGCCTCTCAGTTTCCCAAGGTTTTCATGTTCAGGTTTCCCAATAAGATAATACAACAGCTAGACTTTTTTTGGTTGACTCTCTAAAAGAGGACTGAGAGGGATAAGGCATTCTGATGTTTATATGTCCTTAGTATAGTAGAGTTGGGGTGGATTGGTTCATTTCTTTAATTTCAGAGTGGTTATTTTAAACACGTTTTGTGATAGTAAAGTTGTTACTGTAGGAATGTTCCATATTGTGAAGTGCCAGCCTGAATTTTTGGCACCATCCCTGCGTGGAAGTTAAAAAGCACCACATGCTGGGAATCTAGTGACCTGAAGTTTTGGGACACCTTGCTATCAATGCAGCTTTTTTTCACCTGCAGTAGCAGCTTTTTGTGTGCTTTGGTTTTAATGCCATGATATTGATCCTTGCAAGTTGTTGCAGAGGAAATGCTGCTGGTGAAGCTTTCGTAGTTGAATTGTGTGATACGTTTCTTTTCTACACAGCCCAGGAGGATCAGTGCTGTTTCTGTGGCTGAACGAGTCTCCTACGAGAGAGGAGAAGAACCTGGGAGTAGCTGTGGCTACAGCGTCCGCTTTGAATCTGTGCTTCCCCGTCCCCATGCCAGTGTGATGTTCTGCACTGTAGGTGTGTGCTGATTTCTCGTGTCTAATTTAAAGGCAAGGGTGGAAAGGTAACTTAGTGAAGGAGGAGCTATGCAAAAAAGAGAACACCTTCCCACAGTTGTATTGCTCATGGAGAAATATTTCTGAGGTCTTGGAAATGCATTCTGTATGCTGTGTAGCTGTAAGTTTTTATAGTAGGTTGAAAATGGAAGCTGAGTATACTGGGGAGACAAGGTAGATGCTAACTCTGTAGCTGAAGCTAGTGGAAGTGTGGAGATTTGTCTCTCTCCATCATTTCCCACTTTTCCCACAATAGTGTGAGGAGTCAGCATGAGCCTGAGACAGTGGCTGTTGATGATGCATTACATTTCCCCTCTGGTTGTGTGAAACTTTAGTTGTCCGCCACCTATCTCCATTAACATGGGCCTCTTTCTTTCAGGAGTCCTCCTGAGAAAGCTGGAAGCTGGTATCCGAGGCATCAGTCATGTTATTGTGGATGAAATCCATGAGAGAGATATTAATGTGAGTAAGCGTTCAGCTCTATCCCAGTGGAGATTGGTGGCCGCCTCATTCGCTGTCCATTTGTACAAATTCCTGCTGTTGTGTCATATGAAAGAGGACACGTGTTTGTGTTGTGGCTTTGATACGTTCTGCTCCCACAGGGCTTGTGTGTGCACACTTAATAACACTGAACCAAGGATGCCTTAATCTGCCCAGGAGTTGCTTGTTCACCTCTAGCCACAGATAGAGGTCTATTGCAGGTAGCTAGAGATAATATAGTGTGCCGCTAGGTGAATGGGTACATAGAAAATAGTTATTCACTGACCCTTTACTCTTGAGAAAACCTGAAAATGCAGTCCAAAGCTTTATGCATTGCGTGGAAGGAGATTTTTGATATCACTTTGTGATAATGGCTACCTTTCAGTATAGCGTGGATAGCTCAGGTACTGAGCTGTGAATCAGACCCAGTATAATTCTCTCCACCTCTGTCATGCACTCCCTCGAGACTTAGGCTAGCCACTTTCACCTACCTTTTCAGGTTCCAAGGTAATGATGAAAAGTCCCGTTCTGTGGATGGTAAATAGTGGTATTTTAGGCAAGTTCTTCAGCTGATTATTTCATAAATGCATATAAAACCTGACCTTTAGTATATCTTGCAGTAACAATCTCACTCCCGCTCACTCTCTCCAGTCATTAGTGGAGGCTCCTTTGGTATACCAAAGAATGTCTAAGGCAATTACAGTCATAAAGAATGCAATATAAACATTTTTAAATGTCCATTTCAAAATATATTTAAAAGACTGACCAGTAACATACTTTATCAAGATCTAAGGTGGGCAGGCTTGGGTGGGAAATTTTTTTATCTGGGCTGAAAGCTCACAATCTTTGATGCATGCCTTAATTCCAGGGGCAAAGAACCCCAAAGGGCAAGTGTAATCTTAACCAGCGCACTTCTTATGTGGCTGCTAGATCAATCCAGGGAATATGTGGAGCTTCCAAAGGGGCCTCCAATAATGACTGGAGAGAAAGAGCAGGATTGTAATTGTTACCACGAGATATACCAAAGTTCAGGTTATTTTGAAAGATAACCCTTGTTCTTCATACAGACGGATTTCCTGTTGGTGGTTCTGCGAGATGTAGTCCAGGCCTACCCGGAAGTCAGAATCATCCTTATGTCTGCCACCATTGATACCAGCATGTTCTGTGAATACTTCTTCAATTGCCCCATCATCGAAGTCTATGGCAGAACCTTCCCAGTTCAGGGTGAGCAACTACTCAAGGGAGTATTTGAAAACCTATTCTGTTTTGTTCTTGCGCAAAACAGAAAAGACAGTGCTGCTTAGCAGTCAGATGTTGTTACAGTGTTGAACACTATTAAGTATGGAGCTCACATGATTGTGTTGTTAATGCCAAAAACAGAGCCAGGAAGATGTGAGTCCGTTCTGGAAAGAATGGTGAGATAATGTTTTAAAGCATATAGAACGCCTGCTTGTCACATTTATGTGAAGCAAGAAATCAGCCGTTCAGTATTTGCTGCTGTTCTTTTTATCATGAGGAAGGTAAGCCTTCATCCACAGGTAACCCCAAGCACAGTTTGTATAAGTGGGAAGCCAATATGGTAACCTAAGAGTTCTGTCTGTTTCAGAGTATTTTCTGGAAGACTGCATTCAGATGACTAAATTCATTCCTCCACCAAAGGACAAGAAGAAGAAAGATAAGGATGAAGAAGGTGGAGATGATGATGATGTATGTTGGCTAGGAAACGGGGTTGTTACCATTTGCCATGTAAAATTTTGACCGCAGTCAGAAGAACCAAAACTGTAATGGCAGTTTAAAAAAAATAAAAATAGACTTTCTATGTAGAAGCGTATAGATTTATTGGCTGCATTGCAAAGGTTCTAAGTTCTCACACACATGCTGCTTAGAGTTTTGGCTGAATAATAAACAACAGTGAAATCTCTACATCTGCCATGCCGAAAGTAGAGCTCCATTTCATTTACGACCCGGGGCACTTTTTCACTAAGTGCAGCAGGGCTTAAAGCTGAGCATTTTGATAGCAGATGATGTAAGATATTGTTAAATAGGGTTGAAATAACGTTCATGTCTCACCCCCTGAGACCTGAGCCTGTCATGACAATCCTTCCTATTTAGGGTGTTCATTTGTGTTGCTGCTTACCCAGCTTCTTGATAGTGAACTGCACAAAGATGCTGTTAGCAAAGATGGGGGGGTCTTATATGCGCCATGTTCTTTTTATCTTATAGGCCAATTGCAACCTTATCTGTGGTGATGAATATGGCCCAGAAACAAAACACCGGATGGCCCAGTTGAATGAGAAGGAAACCCCCTTTGAGCTCATAGAGGCCTTGTTGAAGTACATTGAGACTCTGAATGTACCAGGAGCTGTCCTTGTCTTTTTGCCTGGCTGGAATCTGATCTACACCATGCAGAAATACCTGGAAATGAATTCACACTTCGGTACAAGCAATTTTCACCATTTCTGTTTGTTCCTTTCCTGACGTGTTCATAAAGGTGAAAGAGCCTTTTGTTAGTGTGCAGGGAGTGAGTGGCTGAGAGTAAAAAGCAGTGTTTAAAATAGCAGGTCTGGGAGAAAGGTGCATTTGTTTGGCCTTTAAAGGCTTCTTTCCTTATGTTCTTGCTGTAGGAACCCAGCGGTACAGAATTCTTCCTCTGCATTCCCAGATTCCCAGAGAGGAACAGCGCAAAGTATTTGACCCAGTGCCTCCTGGCATGACCAAGGTGAGTCTCTCTGGTCTGTTTCAGGCAAGGAAGATAGCAAGTAGTCTGAGCTAATCTGGAGCTCCAGTTGGGTGCATCTGTCATAAAACCTTCCGTTTAGAGTAAGTTTATGTTTGCATTTCCAGGTAATTTTATCCACCAATATTGCTGAGACCAGTATTACCATCAATGATGTTGTCTACGTGATTGATTCTTGCAAGTGAGTTTTTCATCCTTATCCTGGCATTACTGGACTGCAAAATAGCATTTTTGGTTTTGCTTACTGTGCAGTGTTGCCCTGCCTCCTAGGAAGCTCAAGGTTAAGTTTGCAGAGCCTTTGCACTTACTACACTTAAGAAACCACACAGTTGCTTCCACTTGTCTCTTGGTAAACTTTTCCTGGATTATCATGTGGTAATGCCAGGTGGAGGCACTTTTCTGTTCATCTGCTGAGTGGCATCCTTAACTTTTATTTCTTTTATTGTACCTCGATACAACAGATCTGACTCACCCAGCTTAATAAAATGCAAATTGAAAAATTGGGGTTGTATCTGGAAGAGAAAAATCAGCCCCAGAAAAATGTTCTGTTGCGCTTAACTTTTTGGCTGTGATCTTCAAGTGCATTCCTAGGGCTGTTCAATATGTGCGGTCCTGACTGGTCAATTTCCATGTGCATTTTAGCTACCAGTGGGAGCAGTGTAGCCTGAGTCTAATTTTTAGGGGTTATTTTTCACTTCTCAACGTCTTTACTTTGTTCTTAAGAACTTTCCTGCTTATAAGGTTGTAGGAAAATCTGGATTCGGGCAACACTGCTACTTAGAGGAAGGAATCAAGTTCTGTTTCCAATTTGGAGGATGACATAGTCCTCCTTCCAGTTTAGGTTCCTTCATTTTTCCGTTTTAAATTCCTGCAAACCCACATTGTTCCTTGCTGATTTATGCTGTGGTCTCTGCCACCCTGCTGACTGATCTGTAACTGCCTCTTCAACTTAATGCATTATAAGACATGCTATTCTTTGAAATACCTTTTTGTGGTCAGGGCTACTACATTCATAAAATTGTCAACCAGCATCGCACTGTTAACTGCTCCTGAGCACGAATAGCCTAAAGCTTTTGGTCACTGCATCACATTTGTAAACCGTTCTGAGACCATGTGCTGAGAGAACAGTCTATAGAAACCTTAAATAAATCAATCTTAAAGTGTATTTTAGTTGCGTTTTTTCCAGTCCTTAAGCAAATAAAGTTTGATCTGCAGTTTTTTCAACTTTGCAGACAAAAGGTGAAATTGTTTACTGCGCACAACAACATGACCAACTATGCTACTGTGTGGGCCTCCAAAACGAACTTGGAGCAGCGAAAAGGACGAGCTGGTCGTGTCCGCCCTGGATTCTGTTTCCATCTCTGCAGCAGAGCTCGCTTTGAGAGGTAGGCCCCCCACTCTGTGCCTCTCAGTACTCTGGGGCTACCTGAGCAACTTCTTCAAGTGCACTTGAAGAACCAGGTGAACCCAAACCCAGAGGCTGTAGAGTAATGAGAATGAATAGTATTTTCTTAGGATACACACACTGAGGGAAACACTTTCTTGTGGTTATAAATTTGCATGGATTTGCATTAGACAGTTCCATATACTTTGTTTTGAAATGAACATGTTCCACACAACTCGTACTAGTTACACCCTTCTTCTCTCACGAAGGTCGCTAACCTGATCTGCTTGTATATTAAGCGCATGCTTGCCAGTTCTGCAATAAAGCAAGAGTGTGAGGATTACTTTCTGCCCCCGAAAGCGGTACTGGGAGTCAGGTCCTTCCAGCCAGCTTCTATTCCAGCGCCCTTTTGCTTGAAGATGTTCCCCCACAAGCCGTCTCCAATACCAGATTAGTCTGATGAAAAGAAAATAAAGCATGGGGGAGGCCAGCTTTTCACATTTGCGGGGAGCCGGAGGTGGTTTGTTGCATTGTCAAAGCAGTTTGCATTCTTCCAGAGCGCTGCTCCCAGTACCAGCTGCAGAGGTGAATGTGTTCAAAATACCTTCCCCCCCCCGCCCCATTTTGCCTCCAGGCTTGAGACGCATATGACCCCTGAGATGTTTCGAACCCCCCTACATGAAATCGCTTTGAGCATCAAACTGCTACGATTGGGAGGGATTGGACAGTTCCTGGCCAAAGCGATCGAGCCGCCCCCTTTGGATGCTGTGATCGAGGCGGAGCACACACTCAGAGGTACCTGGCTTTGTCTGTCTGCCATCTAGCATTGGTATGTTCTCTGTTCTTAATTCCCAAGTTGAAAAACACAAGCGGGGCATGCAGACCCCGGTGAATAGTACTAGATTTTTTCCCAACACGCTGCTTTTGTTTCAGAGCTCGATGCGCTGGACTCCAATGATGAACTGACACCTCTCGGGCGAATCTTAGCGAGGCTTCCCATTGAACCTCGCCTTGGAAAGATGATGATAATGGGATGTATTTTCTAGTAAGTGCCATCTAGTAAGAGGAAAGGAATAATTGCAGGCTAATTATAATTTGATTCTAAATAGAGATCTCAGCACTTCATGTTGAATGTGAGATTTAAAATCCATGGGGACAGATGTATAAACACTTAAAAGGCAGAGGAATGTGGATTCATTTTATTCAGGATTTGTAAAAATGATCACCACCACCATCTCCCACCCACTTCTCCCCCGCCTCAAATAATTATACTATTGAGTTCTGCCATGCAATTCTGTTAACAAGTCTCAAGTTTCATTGCAGTGGAGCTCCAACTACTGGTGGCAAGACCCGATGAAAAAATACTCCGCGGTTTCTCTTTCAGTGTGGGAGATGCTGTATGTACCATCTCTGCAGCCACCTGTTTTCCTGAGCCGTTCATCAGTGAGGGAAAGAGGCTGGGTTATGTCCACCGGAATTTTGCTGGAAACCGATTTTCTGATCATGTGGCCCTACTCTCAGTGTTCCAGGCCTGGGATCACGCCAGGTAAATTGGTTTGGGGTAGTACATGTGATGCATATTAATTGCAGTAATTCAGTACATTGACTCTTAGCCGGGGAGTGGCTGTACAGTTAGCTGCAAGGCAGCTTGTTCCCTTGTTCCTTTTCTTTTTGCAGAATGGGTGGAGAAAATGCAGAAATACGTTTCTGTGAGCACAAGAGACTCAACATGGCAACACTCAGAATGACCTGGGAAGCCAAAGTGCAATTGAAAGATATTCTTGTAAACTCTGGATTCCCAGAAGGTAAAATGCTGTGTAAATGTTAGGCTTGGTGAAGGTGTAGTTTCCATCTTCTGATGCTAAATATTGGAAGAGCCATGTATTAAATAAATGCATACCACTTTACTTTCACACAAGACTTAGTCTGAGAAGCAGGGAGACTTAAATTGCATAATGGATTTTAAAGCATGTGATGAGAATTTTGGATGTGCAGAACGATTCGGTTTATTGTGGAAGCCTTGACCTCCCAACTGCACTAGTTTTTGTTTCCTCATTGTCAGGAGGGGGAAAACTGGCTTTTCAAGTAATACATTTTAAAGCAGAGTTTTAAAAAATGTTTAATCTACTAATTGCAAATAAACCCTTTTTATATCTACAAAATGAGACTGTGATTTAAATAGCTCTTGGGAACCAGAGAACCAGCTGTGAACTGAAAATCTTGAGATATTTAATTACTCAAACTGTTCACTTGGCATAATTAGGTTTTCATTGTTTGCAAGATGCAGAGAAATGGCAACTTTTTGTTCCCTTCACAGAGTGTTTGATGACGCAAGTATTTAATAACATGGGACCAGATAACAGTCTGGATGTTGTTATTTCTCTCCTGGCCTTTGGCTTATATCCCAATGTCTGCTTTCACAAGGAGAAGAGGAAGATTCTAACCACTGAGGGGCGCAATGCCCTCATTCATAAATCATCTGTTAACTGCCCATTCAGCAGTCAGGACATGAAATACCCTTCTCCATTCTTTGTGTTCGGAGAAAAGGTAGGCAAGTAAAATCCTGGATTATCAATCGGTTTGTTTTGAGTATAGTTGCAAGCCATGAATGCAGGAGTCCTAGTTCAGCATTCCAGGGCTCCTAGGTGGCTACACCCTTCCAACTGTGGTTCATTTGGCAGGCTCCTGGCTTTCTTTTCCTCCCTTCTAAAGTATTGAAAAGTTTCTCCTAAGGTTTAATTTAGCTCTTGGCAGCAAGAGCTTTAAGCCAAAATGTTCTGGGTGCTGGTGATGTTTTTAATTCCTGGCCCTGCCTTTTTGCCTCTGGCTCCACCCACCACTAGGATATGTCCCCAACAACTTCCCCCAAAGGTAAGGCAGGCCAACAGACATGGTTTCCCATTTGTTTTGAATGAAACCCTTTTAGCAAAGATGAGAATCTGCCAGTCTGGTGTTAGTATTCTTCCATTTAGATGGCCTGCTCTGCGTATTAGAGAAATCAGAAGTGATGTCTTCCCAAGCCCCTTTATAGGGCGAGGTCCAAGGGAAAGCCAAATTTGGTACATCTTCTTATGTGTAATTTGAGCCATGTTATTTTTCAGTTTTTCTAGCTTGCCACCCATATTTTGTTTTGTAGCTACTCCAAGAAAACGTAGTCTGCCTTAATGCGGAAAACAGAAAGCAACATGTAGTGTGTGCTTGGAATAAGTTCTGTGCATGTGTAGAAACTAAGTTTGAATAGCTTTGATTCCAGTGCTTGAGACTTCCCTCTCACAGAATTATAAACTTGCTTACATTTTAGGGTGTCAGTGAACAAGGGGGAGGAAGCAGATGGAGACTAGCTAAAGATAAAGCAGAGTGGGATGATACTGGGTAGAGACAACTTGCCTTCTTACAAATCTAAACCTCTATCTCCACTTTTTGTTTCTTAACTATTTAGGCAATGTTAGGATGACTTTCTTCACTATAACCATGGAGATTTGTTAAAACGAGAAAGCTGTCATGATTTCATGTTATGCATCAGATTGGATGCATGCAGACCTCTTTACATTCCTCTGTCTGCAGATCCGGACACGAGCCATCTCTGCCAAAGCAATGACTTTAGTGAGCCCTTTGCAGCTGCTTCTCTTTGGCTCAAAGAAAGTTGTATCTGATGGAGAGATTATTATGTTGGATGACTGGTATGAACTTTTGGCTGACTGTAGATACTAAATGCATGATGTAGAGGGGCTGTGAGCTACAGCAGCTGGCTTTTTAGCTTAAAAGGACTGTGATGAGGAATCACATAGATGAGTGCTGTCTGAACACTAGGCTTGTTAAGGGACATTAGCATTTGTTTGGCAGCTCTGTTGTCAAACTGGGCATACTTGATAGACAGGTCAGAACTCAGGCTTGCATGCTCATGAAGTTCAAAAGGAGCATGAAGGATACCTTGTAGTTTTGCACCTTTCCCCCAGTCTTGTATGGAAAGAGCATTTCTTATAGAGAGAACAATTTGACATCACAGGTAATTTGTTTGTATCTTGAACAGAATTGGGTAGGGTCTTGCTTCAGCATTTGCTTCAGATTTTCCAGATCTCTTTGGTTGAGTTCCCACTGTCATTAATGTTTGAGGTGTTGATTGCAAGTGGTGATGTAGAAGAAAGAGAGGGCAGCTGGACATGGAAATTTTTAAGTCTCACAAAGACTTTAAAACAGCTTGGTGTTCAGGACAGTTCTAAATCATCATCATTAAAAGGTATAGTCACTGAACACCTTTGAGGGTAATTGATGATACCAAGAACTGATGTGTGTCAAGTCCTAATGCAGCTGACTATCAGTTCTCTAATGAGAAAGTACTGAATCGCATAGAGAGCTGGCCCTCAAAATGCTCACTCTTTTGAGAATAACTTTTCAAAAACCTCATTCTGCATAATATGTTTTGTATCCAGGAGGAATATATTCCTTTACTAAACTACCTTCTTTGCTTCAGGATCAAACTACGGATGCCTCATAAGGTAGCTTCCTGTATCACTGCCTTGCGTGCAGCAATGGAAGCCCTTGTGGTAGAAGTAACTAAAAATCCAGATATCATCAGTGACATAGACCCTCTGAACAAACAGATGCTGGATGTAATTTGTGAGCTCTCCAAGCCATTGGCTGCTGGCATCAGCCTCACAACAGGAAACATGAGGTTAGCTGTACGATTATGATACTATTGCTTGTGCTTTGCATCCCCCAGGGTATGAAAGCCACTTCTTGTAGCCTGAGATATCCCAAAGATGATGAGGTCCTGCTTGCCATTTGGAAACTAGCAAGGCCCAGACAGTGCCAGAATAAATAGACACTTCACAGTGAATTAAACTGGCTGATTCTGCTGAGACCCATGTTAGAAAAATGAAAAATGAAAAAAGATTGCTGTCTACATATCCATTTCCAAATTTGGCAAACAGTACAGTCTAAAAGTATTTTACCAGGCAGGATGAAAATGACAGGTGTACATTTTCAGACAAAAAGATAGGCATATGAAATGCAATGGTTCCAAGAACAAATACTGTATAATGAAAATACAATCTGCTTATTTGTGTATATTGATTTAATTGCTTGAGCCTACGAAGGAGGTAATTGTACATCTTGCAATAAAGGTCTAAGAGGCTGGTACACTAACGTACAACAGCCTGTTAATTTTCAAACTAGGAAGTTGTTACATGCAGCCACCCTCATCAAGTTACAACCCTGAAATGGCTTTCTAGTTAAGAGCCATCTTTGTATATTTCAGAGATTGTACCAAGAGTACGTATAAAAATTATTTTTCATTTTTTCCCTAGATTTGGAGATGGACCTCGTCCACCCAAAATGGCTCGCTACGACAATGGAGGTGGCTACAGAGGAAGAGGTAGTGGATACAGGGGTGGATATGGAAGTGGATACAGAGGTGGATACAGAAGTGGGTATGGAGGAGGGTATAATTCTTATCGTGGCAGCTTTGGAGGAAGGGGATACTCAGGTGCTCCAGGAGGTGGTGGTTTTCGAGGTGCTGGAGGTTTTCGAGGTTCAGGTGGAGGATACCAAAGTGGAGGAAATAGAGGGGGTGGGTTTACAGGAGGATGGGCGTGGTAGGGGTGGCTACTGAACAAACTCCTGTTACCAGAATGAAAAGATGCATGAACTTGTTTTCCTCTGTACTTTTTTGTGAGCATATACTATAGAAGTGTTCCTAATCCTGGAGTTCTCAGTGGTTTGAAACATTGAGTTCTGATATCTATATTGAATTGAGATCAATATACTAGTGTTCCATGTTAAGTTCATTTTGATCCTAATAAAACTTCATTTTTTTAAAAAAAAGAGTAATTATGAACCAAGGCAATGACATCTTGATAGTGATCTAAATTTCTAGGCTTTTCTTTTTTTATACTTATAAAACATCAAACTGCCCCTTCCAGTGTTGTAATTTGGATGAAATCTTCTGTCCTGGATGCAAGTGCCCAATATTTATTTCTTTTAAAAAATAATAAATAAAAATAAAAATACATAGAAGCCTGCAAATGTCTAAATGGTTATCTGTTTGATCACACATGAATTTTGCCCCTCCTGTGAGTCAACACAGGGATAGACTAGAGCTCTACCCAAAATGCTGGTGGTACTCCTCCTTCCCTGGAGGAAAGAGAGAAAAGGTGAGCACCCCCCCACACACACACACACTACAAAATAGCAAATCAAGTAAAATGCAAGTTTACAAACCTTAGACCTAAGGATACCAATTATAATTGTCATTTCTGGTACAGAGACATGTTAAATTGAAATTAAGCTTCAATGTTCTACCTTTATCAATGTATGAAGATATATTTACACAGAAACAGGATTACTATTCCATAAGAATATCCAGAACTGTTCATAAAATCTTTTAATAAAGTAAATTTTCTCATTGTTCCACTGCTAATGGTTGAAATTATGTGAAACCTGTAGCTTCAGTTAACTATGCTGATGCCTTTACTGTTGTCTTCTAGGATGTTAGTGTTTATCTCAAGGCTCAGTTCCTGCATTAGTTTGGTAATGGAATCTTCTCCATCGCCGGCTGCAGCACATTCCACCGTTCCTTCTGCTGTAGCACACAGCTGTTCAGAAGGCTTAATAATAGTCACTCCATAACCATTGTTATCATAAATATGATTATTTTTCATCCTTAGTTTAGGAGCAGGAAGGACCTGTTAAGAAATCAAACTCTTGTTCATAAGTTTATTAAATCTTTTCTAGTGTCATCAAATCATCTGCTTAAAAATAGATGTTTTTTCCATGTATCCCCAGCCTGTTTCCCTTTCACAAATATTTTGTTAGAATCTTAGAATGGTAATCAATTATCTCCAATGATTTACCTTAATATTAATTCCACCAAGGTTACCCCGTGAGGAGTCACTGGTTCTGAAGTTATTGCAGTGATGTATCTTGTTACCCTCCAGAGTAGCCATGCTTCCTGGGTATAGCTCAACTCCAGCCCCCTGAATGAAAAACAAGGCTGTTTTAGTTCATCATGAACACAAACAGATCACTGCAGAACGTTAGCCTTCTGTGTGAATATAGGGCAACTGATGAAGATTCTCTAAAGCTCTGGTCAGTTACTTTCAAAAGGGCCACTGCAGGTATTGAAATGAAGTGTAGTGGCCATTCTCACCATCCTCCCTACACACAGATATCTCACACTTATGGACAAAACCCAGACGATGCAGAAGCAAGCAGATCCTCAAAGATCATAGCTGGATCTGTGACTTCCAGTTGATGAAGCTGCAATAGGATAATTCATATATGTTATCCTTTCTCACATGTCTATTTTGTCCCTTGGTCATTTTTTTAAAATCTTGAAAGAGAACCAGGACAAGCCTTCTCACTCAATCTTAGAACCAGTCTAGATCATCAGCATAATTTCCTGGATTTAGGTTGGCCAAAGGGGTGGAGTTTGACCATTGCCCAATATCAGAAGAAAAAGCTGCCCATCAGTGTACTGCAAGGAGACCACAATGAAGAATGCCCGCATTATATTTAATTGGCATCAGTCTTTCCAAATCTAAATTGTCCTTATCTAATTCAAACGCATTTCTGTTTAGCTATGAGGAGTTTACAATCACATGTATGTACTGTATCTTGCATTGAAATGATACGGAATACCTGAGCTCCAGTTATCTCACTGTTTAGAATTGTAATAGAAGCACCAACAAGTACACAGGCTCCAGTTCCTTCACACTTCAATACACAGTTCTCCACAACTGTGTGTCCAGATTCAACTACTATAATACCATCAACAGTCCTTTGCTGTAACAAAGTAATGTTCATCAATTTCACATTTTGCGCCCTTGATACTACAAAGCTATCATGGGCAGGATTGGAAACAATCACTATTTCCTCTGGTCTTCCAACTCCTAAAGGGAAAAAACAACAACAAGAGTGTAAGAGAACTGAGATCTGAGCCCACCCACAGGGGCTGCTTTAACAAAGTATCTAATCAACATTGCACATGCTTGCAATTGCTACAGCAGCTGTGTATTAAGTTGCCATGTCTAAAATTTAAAAAAATGTTTTTATAGGAACTTTAAGTGATCTACTCCCCTCAAAATTCTGAAAATGCAAAAATGACCCACATTTTAACTAGCCTTTTATTCTGTCAGATATTTTCTTTCAATATGCTTAATTCAATAAAAGTCACAGCAACTGCTGTTAATTTAGCAGCTGTAAATGCAAAGAAATAAGGAGTCATATTATTGACCTTTAATAACAATATCTTCAGTTAACATGGAAAGGTTTTCTGCTTTATATTCTCCAGGAAAAATAAGCACATTATCCCCACTGTAACAGCTGTCCAAAGCCAAGTTTAGGTTATCATGCTGCTGAAGAAGTGTGTCAGAGGAAAGCTCTTTAACCTAGATGTATGACAGTTACAAAATAAGATCAGAAATTGTTATATAATTTTGCTATACAAAAGATATTAACTGATCACTCTAACTAGAAGAAGCAAATTTACATAAATTATCCAGGTCGCCAAATTAAATTTTCATAAAATCTGAATTACAAATTACCTTGATGTAAAATTTAGTGTTTATAATGTGTTGAACTCATAGCATTTCTCAGCCTAAACTTTCTCACAAGCTTTGTTCTGATGGCAAAATTCAGAAATTTACACTGACCATGACACCTGGAGTGTAATCTTATAACAGGTAAACCCAATGAATTCAGTAGGACTTGCTTTTAAGTTAACATGTATAGTATTGTCCTGAAAACCAATGAAGAACAGATTGTTGGTAGCCGGTTCACATTCCTGGAAATAAGACTTTTGAGGAATTTTAGATCTCATCTGTGCTACTTAGACAGCATTTAGCAAATTTTACTGATGTGTTTTCGTAGCACATGTAATGGGACCCTTTTTGTCAAATCAAGACCTAGAGGTTTTCTTTCCTCATCTACAACTCAAGGAATATTTCCATGTTACTGATCAATGCACCAAGATCCAGGTAATGTTTATCAGGCACTTGGAGATTTGCACAAATTAACTTTTCCTTACCATTTCAGTTGCCCCTGTTTTTGCAACAACATGAGTTACAGTTTTCCCACCATCTCGGTGTCCTTTCCTACGTTTCAATATTCTTGGGGTGAGAGGTCCATGAGCCCTGAAATTTAAAATGAACTCTGTGCTACAATTAAAGTTAGACAAAGCATTCTGTGAACATATGTAAGCTGGCTTCAAGTACACTCCATTGAATTTGTTTCAGATTTAAACACAGGCAGACAGGCATTTAAGCCTAAACAATATCGTCACACAAAATGAACATACCAGAAATGTCTGGCACAACAAACTCATAAAAATGCAAAGTGAACAAAATAAGTAGTATTCAGTATTTCTGCTTTCAGCCAGATAACTTCATTTACATGAAACAATGCACTATAGACCTTGGAAATGTATGTCATGAATCTTGGCTTTCAACTGTTTTAGGAATTTCAACTATCTGAAGTTTTAACAGTACACAAAGTAGCAAGTTTTAAAAACGATTAAGGGATGTTTGGCCAAAGCTGTCTGAAGGCATTTTATAAGCCATCCTGATGAGATGTTATTTAAGCTAAAATTGGCTATCAGTTCAGGGTTATATTTTTTATAAATGTATATAAAATGTAATGGAAATTGCCTTTTTAAAATTAGAGTTTGAGAGTTCTTTCAAGTTTTCCTTCTTTACCTTCCAGAAATTGCCACATGACTGCCAGAGTAAAGATGGCCACAGGGAAGGTTGGGAGTCCCAGTTTTTGTCCTTCACTGTTGCTTTTCCATTGACAGTTATGCATTTGATCCTTTGCAATTGTGCTCCAATTTGCACGTATGCAGTCACACCTTACCTCACATAGTTTTAAGTATGCATTTGTGCACTTGCGAAGGATCAGCAAAATATTTTTTTCTCCTTAATGCACAATGTTCTGGGGCCAAAAAGATACAAATACAGTGCCAATTGTGCTTTTTGAGGCTTCAAATCCTTTTTAAGTCCACTTTCAGAATCAGTAAAATTGTGTAAGTGAGCCGCTAGAGTTTTGGCAAGCAGCTTTGTAGCCATCTCCAACAATTCATGATAAATTGTCTGATCAGGTTTGGATGACAAAGAACCTAACCTAATAAGCCTCCCTCCAGGAGCCACACCAGGTTCAGACAGCATGACAGAGCCACCATGACTGGATACCACGGTGGTTGCCATATTATGAGAACTAGATCAGTAAGTACTTCAAAGGAATTTTGCTTACCAATATCCACTTATTATGAAAAGATATACAACAGATGGCGAATATATATTAATAGTGACAAACCAGCATGTTCAAACTGCATACTAATGACTACACAATGTGCTGACAGCAAGTTTTTTAGGGTAATTTCCCAGATCTGAGATTATCAAGTGAAGATGCCAAATACTGAACCTGGGAATATAATCATGCATGAAAATAATGCAGTCTTCACCACTGTGTTATAGGTCCCTGTCTTAGCAATAGTAGTCCACTACAAAGCAAAAAAAAAATAGTTGAGCTGAATAAATCTTTACTAGCATTATCAGATTAACATAACAATGTAAGTGGTACCACTGTTACTCATATTCTAAGTCTTAAAATATGGGGCTGTCTGAACAAGATGCTGGTGCTCTAATCCGAAACATTTTTGTATCAAAGTCCCAGTCATTTTAATGAAACTTGATTTCTGGCAAGTGTACTCGCAACCATTACCCTACTTATTCCCACTGAAAATAAAACTGGTATGAGAATGAAGTATTTATTCAGATATTTATGGCAAACATTTTTCAGCAATAAACATTTATTTTTCTCATGTAATATTCATTTCAAAGTTCCACCAAAGAGATAAAACAGCAAAGGAACAATTAGTAATGAGGTGTGTACTTTAAGGTCCAATCTTGAGGTAAGCAGTGTTCCCCTCAACAGCACAATTTCAACTCGTATTAGTAGCATTATACAGTAACGGTTTTCTTACAAGTATCGGCAAAACACGCAATCACTTTCTTAATCAGATTACGATGTAGTGAAAAATTGTTCACCAGTTTTGAGTAAGGGAAAAGGAGTGGGATGGAAGGTACTCATCTATCCTACAGGCACTTCAGTCACCACAGAGCATGCAACAAGTGGTCCATGCTTTACTAGCAACCATTTGTACTGGGACCTCAGAATCAACTGCAGTTACACTGGCGCAAGGCAATTTGTGCAAAGTTACTACAAATAACATATATAGATACAATCATACTTAAAGTAATAACTTGAGTGGTCACATCTAAGGTTGCAATCCTATAACCCACTTACTGGGAGTAAGACTCATTGAACGCAGTAAGACTCACTTCAGACAAAACATGTATAAGACTGTGGTCCAATTCACTAATGAATTAGCTGTATTTATAATTAGTTGCTGTTTTTAAAGTCAGATTAAATGTCAAAAGAAATTACCTTAAACGTAAATCTTCCCATATTTTCAACAATCCACATAGCATTATTAGTTCATAGTATTTTTTCCAACATTCAACAGCTTCTTCTGCTGTGGGCTCTTCCTTAATATTACTTTGATAATGAATCAAGTCCAAATGCATGCTCTTATACTTTTCCAAATTTCTTCTAAAACGGTGAGCAATTGGAGCAGGGATAATCCCATTCTGAATATCACACCAACTATGAAAAGTTAAGAAAGTCAGAACTTCTCCCTTGCAACTGGATTCAAGAATTCTGAGCCCTAATTCCAACAAACTGGTACACTAAAATGCTTTACTTCAAACTGAAAACTCCTCTCTGGAAAGCATTACATAAATTAGGAAGGAGGCTTCTAGCCTAACCTTCTCCATGGTATCCTAGTTTTCACTATGTTGAAAATTATTGGGGACAGGAGGAAAAATCTAACATGGCTGCCTCTAGCAATAATTTGATGTGCTATCACACAGACAAAGGCTTACCACCTCATCTATTCTTTGTAAGGACTAAGCAGGAAAATTATACTTGCATCTTAATTCTTTCTTCTATCAGCGCCGCATAGGTTTCACTATTTTCATCATCATCCCAATCTCTCCAAAGAAAATCATAGAAAAACCTAAATAATAGGAAAACCCACAATTGTGTCATGCTATTTCTTTTTAAGCATATCCTATATACTGCATTCATTGTAGAACAATAAAATCCAGCAAAAACACCACTCTGAAGGACCAAGAAAAAACATGTTAAAATTTGAAGAACTATCAGAATAACACCTCTAAATGTACAGTGCAGCAAAAAATCTATATATTCTCCCTTTTAGTGTTTTAATTTACTATATGTGCTGTACTGAATTTATGTTCTGACAGTTTTATTAGCTAAATAATCTTTCTGCATCCTGTTTATAGGAAGAATATGCTTCCATAGATACATTTTTGTTAACAGACTGAAGTTCAAGTTCAGATCATTCTGACATGCCCTTCTTAATTTACTTTTTCCACATCACTTTTTCATTTTCCCCCAAATGGTGGGTGTTTTAGATTTATTTTTTGCTTTTGTCTCTAAATGAAAGACAACAACTCCCAGTATTCCTCAGCTAGCCAGACTGCATAGGATTTTGCCTTAAGTTTGCTTTAGTCAAAAACTATCCCCCCACTATTAAAAAAACCCCTCCCATAATAGATTCTACCAAATTGAAAAGCAGAAACATGGAAATTGTTGGACTCTTCTCTTTCTAAAAATTTGTAGGATTGCACCCTTATTTCTTTTAAACACAAGGATTGGATTTAACAGCTCACAATGACTCGAAGGCCTTCATGTCCCCTTCCAACTCTACCATTCTATGATTTAATTTTAGACATTTAACAAACCTGAATATTCTAGTCTGAAATCACTAGGTTAGCACATTTGAACAGTATCCCTTAAGAATCTCAAGGAAGCAGGATTTCAAATCATAATAGGAGAGGGTGCAGCTAACATATGATCAGAAGTTATGGCTGCAAAGCCAGAAGCTTCATAAAAATAATAAGAATAAAACCAAGCCCCTAAAAGAATCAGGTTCCTCTATAAGCCATGACCAATAAGATAACAAATTCTTGCAGCATCAAAATACAACTGAAATAATGAGCATATAACTTTTTTTAAAGACTGCATATTCATAACACTAAAACAAAGAATACGGGCCCAAATGACCAGTAAATGACAAGAAGATGCTAGCAATTCACAATGTCATAATACACTGCATGATTTTCAATGTATTTATTGCATTGTTGTATCCACTAATGAATTTCTATTGTGAAAGAACTGCCTAAATATCAAACTGTCCATCTATCAGAGTATTCTGACAGCACCTGTCCAAGGGATCAGGCAAATATCTTATCACCTTTTACCTGGGATGCTTTCAATTGGAGATTATCTAGATGAATTATAAACTGTCCAGTTGTTTCTCTCTTAGCACACATTCATTCTGTTTACTATTCTGGTGAGTACTAAATTTGAAGAAAAACATACCTCACAATTTCCAAAGCCTTGGCTATATCGAACACTACAATATCCTGCCCCTCCACAGGATAAACTTCCAAAAGAGGTACACAATGATCCATTTCCTCCAGAACTTCATCAACTAATTGTCTTGGAATATTTGCAATGTTAGAGGAAAAAGGCTCAGCTACAGATACAGATACTTTGAAGTTAGCAGATGGATTCTGGGGAAGTTTGCAGGTAACCTAAAATTAACAAGAACATAAATCATTACAAGGTAAAAAGAGATTCAGAGTCATAATAATCATAGTCTGTATGTTTCCCAACACTTATAAACACCCAATTTAGGGCAAATTTCTATATTCAATATATGCTAAGAACAAATATTCTATCCCTGAAAATGTGAAATAAGAAATGTATATGCACAGTATATAGTCCATATAGTGTTTGCTATTATTTGTGGTTTCAGGCACCTGCTGGGGGCCTGGAACCAATTCCCATAGATTCAGGGGTCCTGCTGTACACAGCCCCCCTGCCAGCACCACCTTGGCAGCCCACACCTACCGCTGGCACTTGTCAACTGGCCCCCTGTTGAAAAAGTTTGAGGACCCCTGCCATAGGGCTTTGCAGAACAAAGGGGAAAAACTCCAAGAGACAAAGGGAGGGGAAGAGGCCGGGACTGACCATCTAGATCAAATGCTATTTGATGCACATTAGATCCTTATAAGCTTCTGGCTTTGGAAGCTCAGGAACACTGGCCTTGAGTGACCAGACTGTGCCCTTAATCTTTATAACACATTCACAAAGCATTGCTTATTTGGCAGTATAAAAAGGAATAAATAAAATTGAAATTGAAAAAATTGAATTTCCACAATTCAATGCATGAGCAATGTAATTTTCTGAGCAGTAGGATAATTTTAAAGAATAAAACATGTGGGTCTAATACATCTTTAAAAATTACTAAAGATTATTTAGTTACCTCAACAAGTACACCAACATATGGTATGGGAATTTCTTCAGAACTGACAAAAAAGAGTTCTGGATTGGTCTTCCAAATTCCAAGCCATTTCTCTTTCATCTTCAACTTTTCCAAAAGATATTTACTAATGGTCTCATTAGCATCTTCTGCCTTTTACATAATAAAGGAGGGGGAATGTACATTATTTATATTATTCTTATCCAAATACATTTCCAACATTGAGTATCATTATATATATAATGATATTCAAATACATGCATGATGCATGCATATATAGATTAATATATTAATATACAATGCAGAATCAATCGTTTTTATCCCATCATGCCCCTTCCAGCTTGCCAAATATAATGTATTAACAGTGACACTGATAACCCAAGCACAAACAACTGTAAGAAAAAAAAAGGCTGATTCTGCAATAATAAAGTATCAGTTAGAGAACAGACTCCCTTTTTGACAGGGCAGGTCATCACAACACTTTGGTGTCTACAATCACCATTTGCCAAGTAGAATTTACTCTTCGGTAAGGATGCACAGCACTGTAATCTTAGACGTTATTTTCCACACAAGTCTATCTCATTCTCTTGCACCACTGACTCTAGGTATGGGATGTAATAAATTCAATGGAAAACATACAGTTTGATTAACGGAGATCTGCTAATGAATAAAGGGAACAAATTACAAGCAACCTTATTTGCTCACTGATATTTTAAAATGTTAATGTTGCAAAAGAAGTACATGAATGTTTCTTTCATTTGAATTTTAACTTTAAAAAAGAGAATAGTCATCCTAGCAAACTAAATTGACACAAAAACACAATGGCACAATGTGCATAAACATATTAATAATAAGCATGTAAAGAACTGCTACTCAACATAATTCACTAACTCACAATGGATAAATGACAGTATAAAAACCATTGTGCTAGGTAATACCAAAATACTCTAGGCTCCAGCTAAAGAATGTGCTCTCTGTACTCTTTAAAAGGGGAATCCAAAAAGGCCTGTAACTCCTCACATGCCCCAGCCAGCCGTGCTGAGAGTTATAGGCCCCCTTTCTGCCTAAACAGGCACAGAATTGCACGCTAAGCCACTGAAATTATTCGTGGTTCAGCAACTTCAATGGAAAGCTAGAAGTAACACAACCATGTTGCCCACTCATCCTCTTTCCTGGAAAATTTGTACACATAAAGGTAGTGTAGCTCGTGGGTTGATTTAAGACACTAAAGCAAGAAACTACAGTGGTATTGCATATTTTTTTGCTAATGCAAACAAGCATGACTAATATTACAGGCAGTGGCCAAGTTAGCCCAATATTGGGGTTAAAAGACAAAGGAATAATGAAGTGAATGGACAGTGCATATAGTTCCATTCACAATTCAAACGAGTATTCTGCCATTGTTCAATTTTTTTCACATACCCTTAAATGTCCTAGTTTGTAGCCCTGGGGGTATGCATACCCCAGGTTGGGGATCACTGGTCAAATGGTGGGTATCCTCCAAGGGTGCCTCCAGCTGCTCTGCCAACAACCATCTCAAGCAATTTCCCTCAGGAAGGGGCATCAGCAGCTGGGCTGTTACTGCCAAGGAACTCTGGTCCAGGGTGGGTTTCTTCAGGGGTGGTCACATGCCGCCTCCTAAGAAGAGCAGGAGCTACGCCTGCACAAAGCAATTCATTTACCGTGCCCTGGACCCACCCAGTCATAGCCAGGAGACACAGATTAAGAGGGCATATGGTTGGTGACATTGTGAAAGTATCTTCTTCAAATCATCAAGGACAACTGAAACTGATTCCACAAAGTTGGGCAGGTAATAAAGTCAGACACCTCAACAGGACCTGCATTAACATAACCAGAACATTTATTTCAACCTCATAAAAAGGCGGTGTAACCAAGTTCGCAGTCCAACAATCTCTGCACAATCAATATAACAACTCGCTCCACTTTGCTAGGGAATGCCGTAGTCTCTGGCACTTGTGCCACTGCACCACCTTTCAAAATGAGGTTAAAGTAACCACTGCGGTCTCCAGAGAACACAGCGCCAAATAGGGTCTTTTTTGACCCCAGGTGGGATTCTCCAAGGACCTGTGGCCTTCTATAAGTTGGTGGTCTACAACTCCCCCGAGTCCTGGCCTGTACAGCTGATGAAGGATGTTGCAAGCTGTAGTCCACCAACAAGAGAGCCACTGCAGTGTACAAGTTAGGACCGCAGGTCTCGGTCTCAGGCGATCTGGTTCCCAGCTCAGCCATAGAGCCAACTGGGTGGCACTGGACCCCTCACAGTCTCTCAGCCCAGCCTACCTCACAGGGTTGTTGTGGGGATAAGTCTGAGAAGAGGAAGCAGAGAATTATGTAGGCTGTTTATTTTTTTGAAAGGACAAGGCTGGATATAAATCCAGTAAGAGATTAAAACAAAGCCATCTGGCGGGCAACACGTTCTCCACCTCTCATAGCACCACCGGTTTATGCAAGCCGGCAGGGATAGGGCCCGATCTCATCACTACGCTCTCCGGCCTTGCTGCGGGTGCGGGGCAGGGGCAAGAGGCCCCCGAGGCTTCCTCCACACAGCCCGCCGGGGCGATCGGCTGCCCAGCGCCGCCGCCTCACCTTGCAGCCCTTCAGAAGCTCGTCGCAGTACAGCGCCACCTTCTCCCGGCCGCTCAGGGAGCTCAGGTGGGACGGGAACTGCACCGGCAGCGGGCCGGCGTCCCCCTCGCCGCTGTCCCCGCCGGGGAGGAGACGGCGGCCCGTCGCGTTCTGGGGCGGGCTCCCCGCAGCGCTTGAGCCGGAGCGGGCGCCCGAGGACGCGTCGGAGCCCTTCGCCGCCTCCTCCGCTCCCCGCGGCGGCGAGCCGGCCCCGCTCGCCGCCATCGCCTCGCCTCGCCGGCTCCCGCCTTTTCGCCCACGCGCCGCCGCGCCGCCCCCACGAGGTCCGCGCGCAGGACTCCTCCGCCCAGCCGGACCTACTTCCAGGCAGCCACGCGCGCCGAGGGCTCAGCCAGCGGGAGGGAGCGATCGCAACAAAGGACCGTTATGCCGTCAGAGGTCGCAGTGGACACACGCGCGGGCTTCTTCCGCTGCCGTCGAAAGTAGTCCCGCACGGCCTCCGGGAGTTCTTCGCGGCGCGCTTTTGTGGGAAGGATCGAAGTTTGTAAGGGGGTCGTGGAAACCCCATTGCCCAAACCCTCTATCCTGTTCACGCGAGGGCCATCGCTCAGACGTTAATACTGATTTGCCTTTCTGTTTAGCCCCACAGTCGAAGCTGTCTGGGTGATTTACAATGATCTATTAAAAGAAATAATTCTCGGACCCCCCCCCAACAATTGCACATTCCTGGGACATCACTTGCATCAGCTTTCTTCAACCTAGTATCCTCTAACACCTTTTTATTTCCCCATCATTTTAAATTGTACTTGTTTAAGATTGGGTTTGATTTACTGTATATTTTGATGCTGTCCTTTATTTTATTGTATTACCGCCCTGAGACACAGTGAAGGGCGGGATATGAAAGCTTTAAATACATAAATACATATTTAAATACATAAAGGCTTATGCGAATGGGGCGGCATATAAGTTCTCCAAATAAATAAATAATGTGGCTGCTATGCTTTTGCTATGTGGCTTTCCATAGGATAACCTCTACTGGGGGATTTTGGCGAGCTGATGCTTGTAACGGAAGGGCAATTCCCCCCATCCTCTCCCCTTTTTCGGAGCATCTTTGGTATGCCAGTGGGAAAGATCACGCCATTGCAACGTTTTACTTCTGTAACCTATTGGAAAGTGCCAGTGGTGTTACCTGTGACCCTCTAATGATCAACGTATAAAAGTGCCAACCGAGCACTGCTCAGGGGCACCATCTGGAATGATTTGTTGGCAGCTGGTTGTTGTTGTTGTTATTATTAAAACATTTTTATGCCGCCCCATTCGCCGAAGCCTCGGGGCAGCTTACAACAAGAATAAACCCTTTGAAAGAAAGCCTTCCCCTGTTGTGTATCTTGGGCATACCAGGACAGGAGAGGGACCATTTGGTCAACACCCTGAATGTAGATTTGAACTTGGGGTTCCCACGTCCAAGGCTAAGTTCTATCAAGCTGGCCTAATATTTGATTCAAAACCTCTCCCACCGAACGATTCTGGCATATCTCTGGCAGGCTGTCTTTTTTTCTTAACAGAGCTGTTACAATTTGGTAGTATCTATTTAATCTTGAAGTAGTTCACAAAATAGTACATGAGGCCACTGTTCTTATGTTCTTACAAAGCTCTCTTAAAGAAATCTGGCTGTCCCTGTTAAACTAGAAATTTCATAGCTGGATAGATTCCTAGCTATTCTGGAATCTAAATAAATTGACCGTCGAGTCTCAATGTTCTGAAAAGTGGAACAACAAACAGGAGAACACCTGCCATCCTATATTCTCATCTGGAGGGAATCCTTCAGACATTGAGTATTTGGATTTGGTGTGAGAAAAATATTACTGTGTTTTGTAGCAATGTATCGCATGGGAGCTGTCAATCATGTTTTTGCCCTTCTTCCTCATTCCAGCCCTTGCAGTGGAAAACACAGATGTTCTTAGAAATACAGCTGGTATTCTTCCCTATAAAATAAGAACAAATAGACATTATAGTTATGTAGCCAAGTTATAATTGGGTTGGATTCACATTTAGGCATGCTAAGAGTGGCTCAATTCAGACTGATAGCTCTTAGCTTGCTTATGATTTACTGGTCTCATTGATTTCAATGACCTATTTTAAATGTGTTCAAAAGGATTTTAATCAGACTGAGTTTTTCCAGGTAAGTCAAACACACATACAACTCAGATTTTATCTGTAGTGCTGTGACTGATTCTAGTCTATAGAGACTATTTTTGCTGCAGAGCAATTTTTTCATATTTTTTTCATGATTTTACACAGGAAGGGAGAGATCACAAGTTGGATCACAAGTTAGTATGCTGTCTAGATTTGACATAGCTTTCCTCCCCAGGAGCAAGTGTCTTTTAATTTCTTGGCTGCAGTCCCCATCTGCGGTGATCTTGGAGGAAAATAAAATCTGTCACTACCTCCATTTCTTCCCCATCTATTTGCCAGGAAGCGAGAGGACCGGATGCCATTATCTTAGTTTTCTTAATGTTGAGTTTCAAGCCAACTTTTGCTCTCTCCTCCTTCACCCGCATCAAGAGACTCTTTAGTTCCTCTTCACTTTCTGCCATGAGAGTGGTATCATCTGCATATCTGAGGTTGTTGATATTTCTCCCAGCAATCTTAATTCCAACTGGAGATTCATCTAGGTCCGCCTTTCTCATGATGTACTCTGCATATAAGTTAAATAGGCAGGGCAACAGTATACAGCCTTGCCGAACTCCTTTCTCAATTTTGAACCAATCAGTGGTTCCGTGTCCAGTTCTCACTGTTCCTTCTTGACCTGCATATAGGTTTCTCAAGAGACAAATAAGATAGTCTGGTACTCCCATCTCTTGAAGAACTTGCCACAGTTTGTTGTGATCCACACAATCAAAGGCTTTAGCAGAGTCAATGAAGCAGAGGTAGATGTTTTTCTGGAACTCCCTAGCTTTCTCCATGATCCAGCGTATGTTGGCAATTTGATCTCTAGTTCCTCTGCCTCTTTGAAACCCTGCCTGTACTTCTGGTAGTTCTCGGTCCACATACTGCTGAAGCCTAGCTTGTAGGATTTTGAGCATAACTTTGCTAGCATGTGAAATGAGTGCAATGGTGCGGTAGTTTGAACATTCCTTGGCATTGCCCTTCTTTGGGATCAGAATGTAAACTGACCTTTTCCAATCCTGTGGCCACTGTTGAGTTTTCCAAGTTTGCTGGCATATTGAGTGTAGCACTTTTACTGCATCATCTTTTAAGATTTTGAATAGCTCAGCTTGAATACTGTCACCTCCACTAGCTTTGTTGTTGCTCAGACCTCCTAAGGCCCATTTGACTTCACATTCCAGGATATCTGGCTCGAGGTCAGTGACCACCCCATCGTGGTTATCGGGAATGTTAAGCTCTTTCTTGTATAGTTCTTCTGTGTAATCTTGCCACCTCTTCTTAATCTCTTCTGCCTCTGTTAGGCCCCTGCCATTTTGGTCCTTTATCATGCCCATCTTTGCATGAAATGTTCCCTTCATATCTCCAATTTTCTTGAAGAGATCTCTGGTCCTCCCTATTCTATTGTTTTCTTCTATTTCTTTGCACTGTTCATTTAAGAAGGCATTCTTATCTCTTCTAGCTATTCTCTGGAATTCTGCATTCAATTGGGTGTATCTTTCTCTTTCTCCCTTGCCTTTCGCTTCACTTCTTTCCTCAGCTATTTGTAAAGCTTCCTCAGACAGCCATTTTGCTTTCTTGCATTTCTTTTTCTTTGGGATGGCTTTAGTTGCTACCTCTTGTACAAACTTAGCCTTTTAGTAGTAAATAATTTGCAAGATCAGTAGAAAATTATGATAATTATTCATTTAAAATGTCTCTTCTATTTGGTCTGAAATTCATTTGCAGCCTTTCATATATACTGATGTTGATGGCTGGTTGTGGAAAAGTGAACTCAAGGTCAAACTGCTTATTCAATTCCTTCTGTTCCTGTATCTGCTTAGATTAAAACCTGCTAAGTGAAATCACTTCTTCTGAAACTAAATCTTCTGCACTGCAAGCTATAACGTATTAATAACTGTTAAAAGAAGAGCATGTTTTATGTTCCTAGGGTTGCAGAACCCTATGGTGAGTTATCAGCGGAATGCCCTTTTAAATCTTGGCCATTTGTCTGTTAGACTGTACAAGCTGTAGACTTGAACACAATTATAATTGCTACAGTTGCACATTTTGTAAAGATTGACATTTGTTCCCATTAGATAGAAAAAAATATCAACGATCACAATGTTACATTTCCATTGGTCAACCCTCTGTGCTGTAAATAGCACTTTACAATCTAGCATTGGGATCAACAGACTCCAACCAAGGGCCAAACTCAACTTTGACTACATAGCATGTTTGTTGTTGTTCTTGTTATGTGCCATCAAGTCATCTATGACTTACGGTGACCCTTCAAATGAAAGCCCTCCAAAATGGCCTGTCTATGGCATCCCTGCTCAGCTCTGCTAATTACATAGCATATAATGGTAGTAAATTACAGGTTAATTACCTCACGCTTTCATTAACCCACAATTTGCTGTGGCACGTGCCAGAAACATTTTACAGCTGTTTTGAATATTCATTTTCCACTCAGGCTGACTGTGCATAGCTTCACACTTTATACTAAGACTCCCTGTAAGTTTTTCCTGTGGGGCTTTGGCTTTTATGAAAGAGTGCAATTATTTCCACTTCTCCAATATTTGCACTAGTATCCCAGTACTTCTACCTCCGCACTTCTTCCTCAGTACTATTTCTATCCTGGTACTTCTACCTCACTTTTTTTTTTCAAAAAGGCTGCTTCACATTACACTAAAGTAAGCATACCTGCTCCCAAACTGAGGATACCCACCGATCAGAAGCCACTTTCAGTCGCCTCTGTCCCACACTTCCTGCTGGTCACTTCCCTCTGTTGCTAGCTGTCCCTTCTTTATACGGGTTGTACAGCGGTAAGCCGAATCAGGAAACATACACAAATGTCATGACAAAGCAGGAACCGGGCAGGGGGATTGCAGAAATGCTAAGACAGCTGTCATTTGTTCCTGCCCACTTGTGCAGGGCCATGAAGAAGAGAGTTCCAAATGCATCCGGGACACTTTTTGTGTCATTTCTTTGCCATTTTTAGCAGCATGGGGCAGAGGGCACTGAGAAAGGATGAGGCAAGATGGCCACGGCATGAATGAGAATGAGAGGCATGGCATCAGTTTTTGCCACCCTGGCCTGCTGGCTCTCCAGCTTTTCCC